AAGTGTCCTTCATACACTACAGCACTATCAAGTGTCCTTCATACACTACAGCACTATCAAGTGTCCTTCATACACTACAGCACTATCAAGTGTCCTTCATACACTACAGCACTATCAAGTGTCCTTCATACACTACAGCACTATCACTACAGCACTATCAAGTGTCCTTCATACACTACAGCACTATCAAGTGTCCTTCATACACTACAGCACTATCAAGTGTCCTTCATACACTACAGCACTATCAAGTGTCCTACACTACAGCACTATCAAGTGTCCTGCACTACAGCACTATCAAGTGTCCTACACTACAGCACTATCAAGTGTCCTTCATACACTACAGCACTATCAAGTGTCCTTCATACACTACAGCACTATCAAGTGTCCTTCATACACTACAGCACTATCAAGTGTCCTTCATACACTACAGCACTATCAAGTGTCCTTCATACACTACAGCACTATCAAGTGTCCTTCATACACTACAGCACTATCAAGTGCCCTACACTACAGCACTATCAAGTGTCCTGCACTACAGCACTATCAAGTGTCCTTCATACACTACAGCACTATCAAGTGCCCTTCATACACTACAGCACTATCAAGTGCCCTTCATACACTACAGCACTATCAAGTGTCCTTCATACACTACAGCACTATCAAGTGCCCTTCATACACTACAGCACTATCAAGTGTCCTACACTACAGCACTATCAAGTGTCCTGCACTACAGCACTATCAAGTGTCCTTCATACACTACAGCACTATCAAGTGTCCTTCATACACTACAGCACTATCAAGTGTCCTGCACTACAGCACTATCAAGTGCCCTTCATACACTACAGCACTATCAAGTGCCCTTCATACACTACAGCACTATCAAGTGCCCTTCACTACCTACATATCCACAACAAGACCAGACACATTTCCTATCCATGGTTAACAAAATCAGACAAATATTAATAACAGGGTTAGTTTTCCTAATAACATTCTCAAAGATAATGAGCAAACTTAATAAAAGGTGATACGCCCAGAGTCAAACAGTCAGAGGGGTGATAACCTACAGTCTGAGAGGTGATACATCATCAATCAAGGAAGTGATACATCAACAGTCAGAGGGGTGATAAACTCACAGACTGAGATGTGATACATCATCAATCAAGGAAGTGATACATCAACAGTCAGAGGGGTGATAAACTCACAGACTGAGATGTGATACATCATCAATCAAGGAAGTGATACATCAACAGTCAAAGGGGTGATAAACTCACAGACTGAGATGTGATACATCATCAATCAAGGAAGTGATACATCAACAGTCAGAGGGGTGATAAACTCACAGACTGAGATGTGATACATCATCAATCAAGGAAGTGATACATCAACAGTCAGAGGGGTGATAAACTCACAGACTGAGAGGTGATACATCATCAATCAATGAAGTGATACATCAACAGTCAGAGGGGTGATAAACTCACAGACTAAGAGGTGATACATCATAAATCAAGGAAGTGATACATCAACAGTCAGAGGGGTGATAAACTCACAGACTGAGAGGTGATACATCATCAATCAAGGAAGTGATACATCAACAGTCAGAGGGGTGATAAACTAACAGACTGAGATGTGATACATCATCAATCAAGGAAGTGATACACCAACAGTCAGAGGGGTGATAAACTCACAGATGAGATGTGATTCATCATCAATCAATGAAGTAATACATCAACAGTCAGAGGGGTGATAAACCCACAGTCTGAGAGGTGATACATCATCAGTCAATGAAGTAATACATCAACAGTCAGAGAGTGATAAGCCCACAGTCAGAGAGGTGATACATCATCAGTCAATGAAGTAATACATCAACAGTCAGAGGGGTGATAAACTCACAGACTGAGATGTGATACATCATCAATTAATGAAGTAATACATCAACAGTCTGAGGGGCGATAAACCCATAGTCTGTAAGTTGACACACCAACTGTCTTTGAGGTGATAAACCAATAATACAGTATGAGGGGTGATAATACCTTGAAAAGTTATAAATTAATATTTTGGGAGACAAAACACATTCCTGACAGTGACAAATTAATATCCTAAGGAGTGATAAACGAACAGTCTGGAAAGTGATAAGTTAATATCATGGAAAGTGATAAGTTAATTTCATGGAAAGTGATTGGTTAATATCTTGAGAGGTGATTCATTTATAACTAAGGTGGTAATACAACTATTCTGTTTGTGACAACCGATATCTCTGAAGATGATAAATCAACATTCTGCAAAATAATAAATTAATATCCTGATGGTTATAGTAAAACAATCATCATGGACCACTATCCTAAAGGGTGATAATCATTAGCATGGGAGGTGACAAACCAACAGCACTGCTAAACAGATACCCAAGTGTATGGGTTCACAAAGGATCCTTTAATTTTACTCCACTACTTTTACAACCATGAAAAATCACAAAGGGCAGTCACTCCTTGCCAAAACAAGACTACAGAACCATTAAACTGCAAGAGTGACTTGCCCATTTGTATTCACAAATCTTGCCACCACTGGGCCATTTGTGAATCTACAGGTAGGAGAGTAGACAGCCATTTCTTCATCACACAATTCTTGACTCATTTGAAAACAAAATAACCAAATAACATCATCATCATATAATAATAGCATTTTTCCACAAATGAGGTAAATAAAAACAGAAGATGTCTAGGTTTTGAGGCAGAGACTATTTTGTGATAAGGATGTGAACTTCTTGTTTTAATGTCACTCCAAATCTATGCAACTCTTTTTTCCCTGACAGTATTTCAGGTTAAACACTGTGAGTCATCACAGTCAACCATTTTTCCAGCGTGACAACAATTAAACCTCAGAGTATGAAGGTCTCAGAGCTTAACACTTTCTAAGTTTGTTAACAATTAAAGCAAAGCTTGACACTTTTTTGGTGTTAACAATTGTAGCCTCAGAGCATTGGCGCTTTTCTGGTGCATTAACAATTGTAGCCTCGGAGCATGGCGCTTTTCTGGTGTGTTAACAATTGTAGCCTCAGAGCATGGTGCTTTTCTGGTGCGTTAACAATTGTAGCCTCAGAGCATGGCACTTTTCTGGTGTGTTAACAATTGTAGCCTCAGAGCATGGCACTTTTCTGGTGTGTTAACAATTGTAGCCTCAGAGCATGGCACTTTTCTGATCTGTTAACAATTGTAGCCTCAGAGCATGGCACTTTTCTGGTCTGTTAACAATTGTAGCCTCACAGCATGGTGCTTTTCTGGTCTGTTAACAATTGTAGCCTCAGAGCATGGCACTTTTCTGGTCTGTTAACAATTGTAGCCTCAGAGCATGGCACTTTTCTGGTCTGTTAACAATTGTAGCCTCACAGCATGGTGCTTTTCTGGTGTGTTAACAATTGTAGCCTCAGAGCATGGCACTTTTCTGGTCTGTTAACAATTGTAGCCTCACAGCATGGCACTTTTCTGCTGTGTTAACAATTGTAGCCTCAGAGCATGGCACTTTTCTGGTCTGTTAACAATTGTAGCCTCACAGCATGGTGCTTTTCTGGTGTGTTAATAACAAGTGATCCTTAGAGAGCCTAGAGATTTTCTAGTATGCTTACAATTAATACTTGGAGCTGGGCACCGTCCCATGGTAACAACGATTATTCAGCAGAGCTTACTGTGTTTAAAATGAAACCTCAGTGCTCAGTGTTAACAATGATTGATGTCTCAGACATGTTCACTGAAGTCACAAAATTTGATGTTCATACTTTACATAAGGAAACAAATTAAGTGCAAAAGTCCCACTTTTGTCCTATTTTATAAACAACCATTGTTCCTGAACAAAACAGCTTTGTAGCAGGCTAGCAACAAATGGTCTTATAGAGTCTGACACTCTAAGCTAAGTCCTAGCACATAAAACATTTCTGATACAGACCAGATACAATGATGAATTAAGAAGAAGAAAAAACAAACTGTACACAAAGATGGCACTTCTGCAATGTGCTAATAAAAGCAGTCTAATGTTTTGACACTTCTCACATCCGACTTGAGTTCAAAAATAAAGTCATTAACCCTTCTGCCCTGCGATGTCAACAATAATTCGGCTTTGTTGTCCGTTACTTTGCTGCTTTGCCTATTAATAAGCTTTGCTACTGTTTGTTCCTGCGCAGTGTTTAGAAGGGCTGGTGCTTTCTTTTTAGCTGACCACAAATGAGGTTTTCCATGATTTCTGGGCTTCTTTTAAGGCCAAGGTTTTTGCGCATTTACCTAACCCTAAATTTAACCTTAACCCTAACCAAAACATTACGCTTAATATACCACCCCCTGAAATATTTGACTGTCCCGTGAACTGCAGAGTTCCCATGTTTGTGGTCAGCTAATAAGAAAGTACTGAAGGGCCGGATATAATTACATTTACTTAAGAAATAGCAGTTGGGGAAATGAGTTTATTTGTTGAAAAAAAAAAGTGTTTGTTTTTATTTTTTATTCAGTGATTGAGACGTCATAACTGACCTTTAGCCTTCAGTGGACATACAGCGACGAGTGTCATGACATTAGTCACTGTTTACATTTTTTTAAGGCCAGGGGAATGTAATCTGTTAATATTGGGCTCCATTTTTTTTTAAATTAATTATTCCTTTCCATATATTTATAAATCAATTTTTAAAAAATTATTTTGTTAAACTTTTTAGTGAGGAGGAGGTAAGGGGGAATTTCTTGGTTCTAGGCTACTTTATCCCTAAGGATTTCTAGGCTAGAAGGACAGCAACACAAATAGAGGTAACATCTTTGCAGTGTGCCGACACCTGAAATCTAGCAGTGTGACACTTTTGTAACATGGCCTAGATACAATGATGAAATCATTAAACTACTGATTAAGATGACAACTTTGTAGCAAGCTGACAACAACTGAAATTCACTGTTTTTCCTCTTCTGCTATATGATCCTGATACAACGAGGAAGTAATTAAACTGCAGATAAAAATGACACCTTTGAAGTGTGCTAGCAACAACTGAAGTCCCAGAGCTTGACACTTTTGTCATACGATCCCGACACGATGATGAAGTCATTAAACTGGAGACAGGTAACTCCGTCAGTGTGATTTCTCAGAGTGACTAGCCTTTCACCTGTGGCCAAGTTCCAAACCTATTTCAGACAAGAGAAAACTTCAGTGAGAAACTTGTTAAACATTAGAAAAAGCAGAATAATAGGTAATGATAAATGTTCATATTTCTCAGTCACAGAGAAGAAGTAGATCCATCTTCTTCTTCATAGTTCACCCTTAAAAGGGTAGTTGACACATTGTACTGTGGTTTACAGCTGGGCTTGACACCTGCGCCTGTCTGCCTAATATATCCAACTTGAGCAAACTCTTATTCAGTCTTCTTTTATGAAATGTTAGCAGTGGGTCTATTCTTGTCCCTCCCAAATGGAGTCCCAGAACCCACACAGGAACATACATCTATACTGCTGAATTCACTAGTCTGATTCTCTATGTGTTGTCTTACTATCTTATTCCTCCTCCTGTTTCTGTTGCTTCAACATCTCCTTTCTTAAAATATTTTTTCTTGTCTACTTCCAACTCAGTCTTCTTCCTCATCCTTAAGCAATGCTGTAAACAAACACACTATATTCCCACATCTTTTCAACCTCCATGATTTTGCTTTTCATTTTAAGCGCCCATTACCACCTGTGAACAGTTGCAAACACTAGTATACTACAACACTGGTTGCCCTAGAGCAACAGCCTGTTTGTGTTTGGTTACACTAGTGCAACAGCGTGTTTGTATCTGGCTGAGGTATCGCAACAGCATATTTGTATCAGGTTGCAGTGCTGCAAATGTCTGTGTCTAGCGGCAGTACTGCAATAGTTTGTGTGCTTCCGGCTGCAACAGTCAGTTGGTGCATGGCAGACAAGTGACAACATGAACATACATACCTTAATAGTTTTATCATCAGCAGCACTGACAACTCTCCAACTGTCAGCCTGCAGACACCGAACAACATCTGTGTGGCCCTCTGCTTTCTTCCAGTCGATTGTGTTCAGGCACTCTCCTGTGTGGATGTCCCAGAACTTGAGGTTGTGATCCAGAGACCCGCTGACGATCCGGGTGGAATCAAACATCAAGCATGTCACTGCATCTTGATGTCCTCGAAGAGTCATCATGCAGCTACCATCATAACTCCACACCTGAAAGAGAAAGCCCATGTATTCTCAATGACTCTAAATCCTAAATTATATCAACTTCTGTGCAGCTTTCAGATGACACCCTATGCTCTAAAGGAGACAGGAGGGTGTCATAGTTCTAAAGCTACAAGTTCATGTCTCTTATAATTTGTACCTAGCATTTCAAGATTGTTCTGTCTTTGTTACTCTTGTAGTGGGAAAAAAAAAGTGAGGAGATCAGAGAAATGTCTGGACCAATACATGTATTGACTGCAATAAGACAAAGAAACTGAAGTTATACTGGGCCCACACTAAGATGAAATGAGCAAATAATTACAAAACAAGCACTAAAATGAAAAACAAACAGTCTGGAAAAATGACGACATCCAAGGAAAACATTCAGAAGAACATTAAACTGAGAAGCTAAAAAGCTGGGCTGAACTCCATCAAGAGAGCTGTATACAGCAGAGCAGAGTGGAGGAATTAAACGTGAGCCCTCTTTGACGTCTAAAGGCACACGATGGATGACGATGATGTTACTCTTGTATGTAGCTATTTGTTTCTCTTAGTCTGGTCCCCACCTTTTGACCAGTCTTATCTGCTGTAGCCTAATCTCTACCTACCAACTTGTCCAGTATTGTAGTTTGTCATATCCCTAAAGATTTTCTGCTAAATGTAAACAAATTTCTAATTAGCGGATCAATGGAAAAATTCAATTCTTCTCAATAAAAAATATTTTTCTATTTGCTAAATGGAAAATATCGGCATATTAGAAAAACATTTCTATTTCATTCAATGGAAAACATTTATTTTCTGTTCAACAGAAAAACATTTCTATTTCATTCAATGGAAAACATTTATTTTCTGTTCAACAGAAAAGCATTTCTATTCTGCTAAGAACAAAAGCATTTCTATTCTGCTAAGAACAAAAGCATTTCTATTCTGCTAAGAACAAAAGCATTTCTATTCTGCTAAGAACAAAAGCATTTCTATTCTGCTAAATACAGAAAACAGAACTAAAACACTTTCGATCAATAGACAAGTATTATTTCTTCTCTACTCTACTTACCTTAATTGTTTTGTCTGCGGATCCGGAGACAATTTTGGTCTCGCTGAAATGAACACACAGAACTGACGCCTGATGTCCTCTGTGATTAGGAAAAGACAAAACAAAACATGAGAAGTTGTTACAACTTTGGTTACAAGACAATTCACAATTCCAAGATCAGTCGATGGAGATTGCAATAGATCTCCAACACTCTTTGTTTACTGTCTTGGTAGTATGCTCTTTCAGTCTGCTGTCTGCCCATCTCTTAATGTTGTCTTTCCCACTTGTATCATTGTCTATCTTAGGTTTCTACCCTCGCCTTTTCCCTTCAGTTTTTTTGTTTTTTTTTTAGTTGTGTATCCTTTACAGGATGTTGCAGAACCAACCCAAGCATTTTTTTTTGGCTGTCGTCATTTTTATAGGAAAATTTAGGTCCAGTAGTTTGCCACTGCTTTCTGTACAATCGGCTCTTCGATACCACTGTCAAAACCTACGCAAGGCCCACAGCAGGGATCGAACCCGGCACCCCAGCATTACAAAGTGTGTTCGCAACACCTAAGCCACAGACACTAACCTCCCTTCAGTATGGTTCACAAAATATGGCCACAAAATTTGAGCTGTCTACTTTTTTTTCAGCAATTCTCTTTTCATTCTTGATCTCTTCAGGACCTCTGTATTTGACTGTTTTTGTCTCCATGACTTCTTGTGTACATCCACATCTCCAAAGACTCGATTTAACAATGACTGAAAACCAAAAAATATAAAAGCGGTAAACAATCAAATAAAGAACTGAGTTAGTGCAGTAATAAGGAGATCTGCTTACCAACTGTGGTAGAAGGAAGGATTGAATAACTTCCAACTGGTACAACTCTTGGAAAAAATAAGCTAGTATCATCATCATGATGTGCCCTGCCGGCTGGCGTAGATGTTCACATATCTCCACAGATCTCAGTTCCACAAATGATATCCTCCATGCCACCGTCGCAGTCCATCCATCATCATCTCTCTTGGTCTGCCTCTCCCTCTTGTATCGTGATCTTCCAAGTCATTACAACATTCTCCATAGCCTACCCCCTCATCACATGACCAAAGAACAGAGCTTGTCTTTTCCTTATAGCTGCATATATTGATCCACTTTCATTAGCTTCCTTCAAGCAATCTTCGTTAGTTACTCTGGCAGTCCGAGGGATTCTTAACATACGTCTGAAAAACCGTATCTCCGTCGCCTCCAAGGTCGTTCTAATTTATGCATTTACATTTTTATGAAAGCTAGAATAGTTATAGGAAAAAGTCAGCTTACGAAATGGGCCTAAGGTGGATTTTCTGGTAAGAAAAGGTAGCAGGGAACTAGCCACCAAACCTCATGATTCCCGGCCCATCTACACATTTTCAGTCTGGTCTAGGTCAGAGGGGTGACACCGTGTAGCGTTTTCTTCAAAAAGAGTCTCTCATGTGACCTAGGCTCAAGCTGTGCTTAGGTAGGTTTGGGTTAGGGCCAGTTCTAATGTTCTGGGGGTCATTGAAAGCTGTGTCATTGTGTAGTATAAAAAGCGCAACATCTGTGCTGATGTAATTTGAGGCAAGACAACGTGACTCCCCTCTGATGTAGAACAGTCTGAGAAAGCATGAATGAAAGGTCAGCCAGTGTGTAGATGGGCCGGCAAATGTGAATAGGACCAAATAAATTATTCTCACCTCAGGGTTCTTCTCAGAGTGCCAGATTTTAGATCCCAAATTTTCAGAGTTGTGTCATATGAACCACTGATTACTTTGTCATCGTCTGCCTGTGGAGACACAAGCAGAATGAACTCATACTGTACTTAATAAGATTAAACAAGCATTTTAAGAAAACTATGGTTAAACATCAGAAAAAAATCAAAATTGTGAGAACCTGCATCTTTTCTGTAGCAAAATCAAAATTCTGAGAGCTTTCATTTTTTCTGTAGCAAAATTAAAATTCTGAGAGCTTGCATCTTTTCTGTAGCAAAATGTGGATGTTAATCATGGACTGTCTCAGTCATTCAATAAGATTTTAAAAAATAGGGACTTTTGAACTGAAACACTAGAGAAATATTCTAGAGAAATACCAAAGACCAAGAAGAAAAGAAATACTGACACCCTAAAAGTTCTAGCACATCAATGAAGACTGGCTAATAGACAGCTTCTTGTCTCAAACAACTGGCTAGTAATCACCATTGTGGATGAGAAGAACAGCAGCAGGGGGCATAATACTGGAGAGATCGGCCAGCGTGGAGATGGGCACATGATATAAGAGACATCTTGGGTAGCAAAGTGCATGAGGTGGGACAGCTGGCAAGAAACAGCATTTATCTGAGGCCGGCAGTGATGACAGCGACATTCTGCAAGGGACCTGCTCTAAGATGATTATGATGATGATGTCCTAAATAAACATGCCAGGCTTTCAGAAGATTGTGGAAAATAGATGTTAAAAATGTTTTCAGAAATTACAGTTGAAAAGAAACTACATTCTCTGAAGTAAGAACCTCCCCATATTACTAATCTCTGTTAGGTCCCACTATAACTTTTGTCGACACACAGTGGCATTGCAGCTAGATGTTCGCCTCTGGCCCAAGGGTCTTGGGTTTGAATCTTGTCTTTTTTTTTTTTAAATCACCTTGGCTCACCAGCTAAAAATGGATGCCAAGAGAAATTCCTGGAAAGTCATTCCACATCACCCATCAAGCGCTGAATGGCCTATAAAGATCTGAGCCTAGCATCATATGCCCAATGTGCCTCTGGCCCAAAAATAGTCCTTGTGGGTTCCAGAGAAATGGCCTTCCGGTGACACTCAATCAGGTTTCCTCTCCGTATGTGTCCCATTATTGTCTCACCTCTTGGTTGTCTCAAATGTCTCTAGTTCTCTCCTTATACACTTCATTAGCAATTCTGTCATTCCATCTGATTACTTCTTTTCCATAATTATCATCGGTGATGGCTGTCCTGTTGCGCCAGTATAAGCCAGTGCTCCCTATTCCTCCACTCCGTTTTATCCTGTGCAGGCAGTTCAATTTCATGGATGGAATCCAGTCCAGCATCTTTGGCCTCCCTTATCAACGTCTGTTTTAGGGTTTCTTTTGAATAATCCACTTCTTTTCCCATATTAGTGCTTTTTTTGGCGATTCTCTGCTTGTTTCTTCTCACGTTTCCAGTATAACACCCTCGTCTCTGTCATATAACTGTTACTACCAGTGACTGCCCAGACATTTCTCTTATTATGTCTTCACCCGTCTCAAACTAGTCTCATTTTATATTCGCCATTACCCTGAATTGAACTTTCATAACAATTCTTTAGTGGTTCTTTAACTTTCACCAGTATATGTTGAAAAAATAAAATAACACTAGAACTGAATATACCTAACTTGGTTTAAAACTGAACAATTTAGAGTGCCAGATTATCTTTAGTTTTTTCAAAGTTTCTGATGCCTTGCCAATGTATGTCACCATTTATTTCTTTGTATTTTCCTGACTATCTAATCAAGAAAACTGATCTGATACTAAACATTTTTTGTGTTTCTAGTGTTACATCTGCTTGATCTGTTATTTCGAGTCTTTAAAATATCTTCTCTTTACATAACTTATTTGTAGCTCAATTTTTTTAAATGCTATTTTGCTAAATTATCTGTTTACTTTGTACATCATTGCTGTTATTATTTAGTACAACAATCAAATCTGCAAAAAAGAGATCTTCCAACTATGAGATCTCCAGTCAGTCAACGCCAGTGTTTCCATCACATTCTTGTGATTCCAGTCAATGGTTATGCCAAATAACAGGGGGCATCAAATGCATCCTTGTTTCACTCAAGTTTCAAGTGCAAATCAATCACTTAAAACAGTGTTTCCAAAACTGTTCTTGGTTGCGGCGCCTTTTTTCAATTACAATTTTCCCACGGCGCCCTAACCTAAGTAAAAGTATGGCTATTTGTTTCTTGGTTATATTCATTATGAAGCTTTTACAATATTTCGCGGCGCCCCTGTGAAGAGGTCGCGGCTCCCCAGGGCTCCGTGGCACACTGTTTGGGAATCACTGACTTCAAACATAATCTGTTTACGTTGCACACTCTGAACCTTCACACATTGTTTTAATGGAGCCCCCCCTGGTGTAGCAGCTAGACACTCACCTGCAGACTGGAAGGTCGTGGGTTCGGATCCTGAAAGAGCCTGAGGTTTTTCACAAATGACCTTGGCTCTCAGGTCAACTCAGCCTTAAATGGGTACAGTCCTGGGAAGTAAAGGCAGCCTGAATGGTGTTGACCACATCAACAACCAAGTGCCGACTGGTCTATAAAATACAGGTCTAGCCCTATACGCCCAATAGAAGGCATGGAAAAGGGTCTACATTTTTCTTCTTCTGCCTTTTTATCCCCCAATGTAGCATAGGCCCTCAACCAACTCACGCCAAGACGTTCTATCCTTCGACATTGCATGGAGCTCTCCCCATGTCCTCCCCATCTTTCTAACTTCATTCTCCAGCTCTCTTCTCCATGTATTTTTTGGCCTTCCTTTATTCCTATGTCCCTGTGGGTTCCAATGCAAAGACTTTCTAGTTATGCTGTTCTCCTGTTTTTTCAGTGTGTGTCCTATCCAACGTCAGCGTCTTTTCCTCACCTCTTGGTCCACCGGAGCCTGTTTAGTTCTCTCCCAAAGCTCTACATTAGTTATTCTATCATACTAATTCCTTCTATTCTGCGCAGGCACCAGTTAATGAATGTTTGTAGTTTATTAGTAATTGCCCTAGTTGTTCTCCATGTTTCCGCCCCACACAAAAGTACTGATTTGACATAAGAATTTTAAACAATTTAGTTTAGTATTTCTTTTAATTTGTTTTGACCTTTCACAAATTCCCTAGTGCTATGAAAGCCCCTTTTTTTTGTAATCTTATTTTAATATCTCTATCAGTTCCTCCATCTTTATCTACATTACTGCCCAAATAGGTATACAACTCCACGTCTACATTGCTTAGATATTATTTACTTTCATTGGTATATCATAGAATTCCAAATCTTTATTCCATAATGGCAACAGTTAATAGACGTTTGTAGTTTTTTAGCAACTGTTTTTATCATTGTCTATCTCACACTGCAGTGCTGGTTTCACATAGTCTGGCACCACATTTCATTTCTTGTGACTTCCACTCATTTTCTAGTTATTTTTGAATCTGTCAAATAGGCTTTTCCAAAACAGAAAAAAAATATGTACACAGTCACTCAATAATATCAATTTCACATTATGAACTGAGCGCACCAACATTAGTGTCTGCTTACCTGCAAACAGCGAACAGTGTCTGTGTGTCCAACCATGGTCACTTTGCAGGCAATAGATGACCAGCTGTCTTGTGTGGACAGATCCCAAACCTGTGGTAGTAGCCAAAATAAGAAGACATCTCCTTACAGAATTTGATTTCCCAAACTGAACTGACACTCTTTTCCATATTCACTGGCTGTAAACTCCAAAGGAAAAGTCCTGGTTGTTTGTCCACTTCAGGACTTTGGTCTTGTTCCAGGATTTAAGTGTTGCGTGCACAGCCATTTTACAGATCTGGCTTATTTGAAGCAGACTGCTGGTTCCTTGCATCTCAGGCAGACACACTCTGACTTCCAATAAAAACGCCAATCCTATTTACACTGACCAGAATCTACTAAACATAGGAACTTTGGACAATGTGACAACTAGATTAATAAAATCTACTAATTATAGGAACTCTGGACAATCTGGCAACTAGATTAATAACATCTACTAAACACAGAAACTCTGGACAATCTGGCAAATAGGTTAATAAAATCCACTAAGTATAGGAACTTTAGACAATCTGGCAACTAGATTAATAAAATCTTCTAAATATAGAAACTCTGGACAATCTGGCACTACATTACCAATTAAAAGACAATTTTTTTCAAAAAACGTACTTTGATTGTTTAAATCACATGGACAGTTTCACAAAATACTTTCAAAAAATTTTTTAATGTTCTACAAACCTACTCTGATCCTTTTATTGCAAGAAAAATCTGCCAAGTACACTAACAATATTTTTTTTTAAGCTGTTGCATAAACTTACTTTTATTGTTTTATCACAAGAACAATCAGAACGACTAGCTAAAAACATTTCTTTTTTAAACTAACTTTTCCACTTTGCGTAAACAGAAGTATGAAGTAAATTTGAAATTGCCTTGGTTAATCACATGGCTAATCTTAAATTTCACACTGTGAGATGCAGAGAGTAATTAAAAGATTTATGATTTGTTTATTTCAGTAGAACGGATTCATTTTTATTTTGTTGGTACTTCGTTTTATGTTGATTCAACTCTGTAGTATGGCACCTGACCAGAAAAAGCTAAATATGCCAAGCAATAAATTATGCAGTGTATTGTTTCTGTCTGCATTATTTCAATTTACAACAGGAAAAAACACTTGAATTTGACTGTTTTATCATAAGAACAATCTGGCAAGTACATTAACAAAGAAGAGACAATTGATGTACAAACTTACTTTGATTGTTTTATCACAAGATCCACTGACTAATCTGTTGCCTTCCAGATACAAACAGCGCACCGTGCCGTGGTGGCCCATCAATGTCTGCACTGACCACGGTGCATTGGTCCGCATATTCCAGACCTGAAGATTACAGCAACCAGATGCCTTATTCAAATAGTAACATTATCTGTTTCTTCATTTACGGTGTTTCCTCTTCTACTCTGATAATGCTGATGTGATAATAATGCTGATGTGATGATAATGCTGACGTGATGATAATGCTGATGTGATAATAATGCTGATGTGATGATGATGCTGATGTGATGATGATGCTGATGTGATGATGATGCTGATGTGATGATAATGCTGATGTGATGATAATGCTGATGTGATGATAATGCTGATGTGATGATAATGCTGATGTGATGATGATAATGCTGATGTGATGATAATGCTGATGTGATGATAATGCTAATGTGATGATAATGCTGATGTGTGATAATGCTGATGTGATGATGATAATGCTGATGTGATGATGATAATGCTGATGTGATGATGATAATGCTGATGTGATGATAATGCTGATGTGATGATAATGCTGATGTGATGATAATGCTGATGTGATGATGATGCTGATGTGATGATGATGCTGATGTGATGATAATGCTGATGTGATGATGATAATGCTAATGTGATGATAATGCTGATGTGATGATAATGCTGATGTGATGATGATGCTGATGTGATGATGATGCTGATGTGATGATGATAATGCTGATTAATGATAATGCTAATGTGATGATGATAATAATGCTGATGTGATGATAATGCTGATGTGATGATGATAATGCTGATGTGATGATAATGCTGATGTGATGATAATGCTAATGTGATGATAATGCTGATGTGATGATAATGCTGATGTGATGATGATAATGCTGATGTGATGATGATAATGCTGATGTGATGATAATGCTAATGTGATGATAATGTTGATATGATAATGATAATTCTGATGTGATGATAATGCTGATGTGATGATAATGCTGATGTGATGATAATGCTGATGTGATGATAATGCTGATGTGATGATAATGCTGATGTGATGATGATAATGCTGATGTGGTGATGATAATGCTGATGTGGTGATGATAATACTGATGTGATGATAATGCTGATGTGATGATAATTCTGATGGTGTTTATCTTATGATGTTGACTGTGTTGCTATTGCAGATGATCTTCTGCAGCTGCTGCTGATGTTGACGATGATCATTCCACACAATGTAAACTAATAACTCATTGGCTATTCATACTGACCAATCAAACATAAGCGTAATGTTCCATTGACCAATTATATCGTAAACCTAATGACCCACTATGCAATCATAACATAAGCTTCTACTTCACGGTCACCGTATGTCAACTCCAGAGAACAATTTCTGTTCATCCACTTTTGGACTTTTTGTATGCAGGCGGTTTCTCGCCTCTCAGGTAAATGCACTCTGACTTCGAATGAAACCTCTTTAATTAGTCAACTCTTACTACATGCTTGTTGGGAGCAGTGGGTCAATTCACCCCCCCCCCCCCTCCCACAAACTAATTATTGACCCCCTTTAACCAATCATAACTGTCAAACTGACAATTCATTAACCAATCATTTATTTAAATGAGTACCTACCTTGATGGTCTTGTCCGATGACCCACTGACAATTCTAGAATCATCAAACTGAACACAAGAGATGCCTGAAACATTGTAAATTAAGCCTAAACACAGGGTACAATTAAACCATACAAAACAGATATCATTATCGGTTCCTTCTAATGTATGCTGACATCGGACATGTAACTGATAGGGACTATGCCTTCCTTGAGACATGTAACTGATAGGGACTATGCCTTCCTTGAGACATGTAACTGATAGGGACTATGCCTTCCTTGAGACATGTAACTGATAGGGACTATGCCTTCCTTGAGACATGTAACTGATAGGGACTATGCCTTCCTTGAGACATGTAGCTGACAGGGACCATGCCTTCCATGAGACATGTAGCTGACAGGGACCATGCCTTCCATGTGACACGTAACTGATAGGGACTATGCCTTCCATGTGACATGTAGCTGATAGGGACTATGCCTTCCTTGAGACATGTAGCTGAAATGGACTATGCCTTCCATGAGACATGTAACTGATAGGGACTATGCCTTCCTTGAGACATGTAGCTGAAAGGGACTATGCCTTCCATGAGACATGTAGCTGACAGGGACCATGCCTTCCATGTGACACGTAACTGATAGGGACTATGCCTTCCATGAGACAGGTAGCTGATAGGGACTATGCCTTCCATGTGACATGTAACTGATAGGGACTATGCCTTCCATGAGACAGGTAGCTGATAGGGACTATGCCTTCCATGTGACATGTAGCTGATAGGGACTATGCCTTCCATGTGACATGTAACTGATAGGGACTATGCCTTCCATGAGACATGTAGCTGACAGGGACTATGCCTTCCATGTGACATGTAACTGATAGGGACTATGCCTTCCATGAGACAGGTAGCTGATAGGGACTATGCCTTCCATGTGACATGTAACTGATAGGGACTATGCCTTCCATGTGACACGTAACTGATAGGGAATATGCCTTTCATTTGACATGTAACTGATAGGGACTATACCTTCTATGTGACATGTAGCTGATAGCGACTATACCTTCCATGTGACATGTAACTGATAGGGACTATACCTTCCATGTGACATGTAACTGATAGGGACTATACCTTCCATGTGACATGTAACTGATAGGAACTATGCCTTCGATGTGACATGTAACTGATAGGGACTATGCCTTCCATGTGACATGTAACTGATAGGGACTATGCCTTCCATGTGACATGTAACTGATAGGGACTATGCCTTCCACGTGACATGTAACTGATAGGGACTATACCTTCCATGTGACATGTAGCTGATAGGAACTATGCCTTCCATGTGACATGTAACTGATAGGGACTATACCTTCCATGTGACATGTAACTGATAGGGACTATACCTTCCATGTTATTTATCAGACACCAAACAGGTGATTACTGAAACTGGCAGAAGCTGTTATAATAAAAAGGATCAATCCCATCATGTGCAAACAAAAGAGCACGTGGTAAATTTCAAAAGCCCACAGTAACCACATGGCTATCTCTAACTGCCAGTCATAAGATGAAGTGCAACAAGAGAAGTCAATGTGATTTATGTATAAAAGTTTAAACGAATCTTGTGTATGTGTGTGCAAGCATGCATTAGTGTGTGTGTGTGTGCAAGCATGCATTAGTGTGTGTGTGTGCATGTGTGTGTGAGTGCATGTGTGTGTGTGGGGGGGGGGGGGGGGGAGAAGAAAGCATTTCTGTATTTAAAATTGTGCATTTACCTTGCAAATGACCTTCAAAAGTTCTGACTGTACACCGCCCCTTCAGCCAATTGTTGCGCAGGCGAAACCTTTCTGCAAACACATTCTTCCACTAAAAATAAATGCAAGGAAATTTTTAAAAAAATTACTACTTGCAGCAAATTCAAACAAAGCCAAACTGAACATAAAACTGTTAAGACAGGTTTACTGTCACAGACTGTATTGGGGCTCTATCCTTTGACTAATCTGGATCATGAGTCCTGTGTTGATGACACAGCAGCAAAAATATGGTCCGACAAACTGCAGCTCTCTTACATTCAATCACAACAGATGCCTGGCATGTCAGTGACATCAATCCGGAAGAATATGCCAACGAGGACAACAGGTTCACTTTCACAACCATAAACTTATAGTCACTTTAGAACATTAGCTCGGTGACATAAACATTCTCACAAGATACAGCATGGATCTTCCTTTTGAAAAAGGCAGTTAGTCTGTTGTAATGTGGTTTACAGCTAGGCTGTGACATCTGTGAATTTCAGCCCAACACATCCAGTTTTAGCAAGCTCCTAGTCATCTTTTCTGACATGCTTGTTATAGGGTAGTGGGTCTATCCTCTCCCACCCCCTTTTCCCCCATTAGAGCCCTGCATACAGAGAACAATATGGTTACCACTGTAAGATGAAGGCCTTAAAACCTAGGTTGGTAAAATTTCTTCCACAAGTCCCAGGTTATTTCTTATCCTACATAGAGGACACGTAAAATGAAAATTTCATGTTATCAGAACAAACAAACAAACTTTATTTTCAAAGGGTTGCAAATTGGGCACTCAGGTCCGTCTTACATCTGGCCCTTCCAAACATCCATCTTTCACATAGCACTTGTATTTTATCAATAAAGCATGTTATGTTCATAAAATAGAATGTATATTATGAATATCAAGATAAAACACAAAAGCATGGGTGGTAGAATGCCTGCACACACTCACCCCACTCATACACAGTCATATACATACACACCCACAGACATTCATAAATATAAACATACATACACACGCACTCGTATACACACTTACACACATATTTATATACAGGCATGCATGCACACAGGCATGCCCCTGCACACATAGACACACACGCAGACACATACACAGACACACACACACACACAAACGCAACCACAAACACATGCAGACACACAGATGCAGATACACACCCACACACACACAAAGATGCACAGACACTCAGATAAACAGGACAACCAGACCCTAAACCTTTGTTGGCAGCTGGTCAGGTGTACAGACAGAGCACTGCTCTTCTGATCCTGCAGCTTTTGCAGCCTGCTTTGTTCCAAACGTAACATTGTTACCTTTCCCTAAGAGCAGGGATATTTAACTAAGTTTACTCACTGGCCAAAACTTTGAACATGGGGACTGCCACGGGCCAGAGGCCTCGGCCCCAGCACAAAAAGATCACTATTACAATACAAGTGACAGGGACCTGCGGGCCACTTGACAGGTCTGCATGACAGGGCCCCAGAACTCACACAAGGACACTGTTGACCGACTCCACCACAATGACCGCATCCAACTATACCAGGTGGAAAAGCACCATGTTCTCATACTTACTTAGTGTGTAAAGAAATGAACAGAGAGATAGACTGGCTGGTGCTGCAACTGCGGATGGTGAACTGATGCATGACATGCTAGATAAGGTCAAGGCACTTTTAAAGTTAGTGAATAATGAAGAAGCACAAGGAGATCATTCAGATCTGGAGAGAAGTGTGCAATAGGGAGTGACCAGGGGACCTGACTGACATTCTACACACAGAGGAAAGGCAAGACTGACTGACAGTCAAAGTTCTACTGGTACCATCAGCAATGGAATTCTGAAGATAGGGGCCGAGTGCTTATGGAAAGATCCTGAATACTGTGATGTTTGTTCTTAATTCAACTCAACTTACTTGGATGCTTCCTTCTGGACACATGTGACTGATGACCTGCTTATGCTCAGCAGCCTTGGACAGCCTCCATTTGGTCTGGCAGCAGAATCGACACCACAGTGACTGATCTTCTGCCAGCTGTCGCCACACTCTGCACACCTGAGCTGCATGGCACAGGCTCACTGTTGGTTAGACAGGTGGAAACAGAAAAGAACGTAATTGCTGCATAGTGGCTAGATGCTTATCTGATAGACTGAAAGTCTTGGGATTGAATCCGCACCAAGAGATTTGTTTCTCAAAAATAACCTTTGATATCAGGTCGACCCAGCCTAAAATGGGTACCAGGTAAAGTCCTGGGAAGTAAAGGCAGCTAGCATGATGCTAACCACATCACCCATCGAGTGTTGTCAAGAAAAGGGATCTTTACTTTACTAAACAGTTTCACATATTTACTCAAGATTATATAGTGCAAATTCAGTAAGACTAGTGTTGAAGAAAGGTTGCTGACACCAACATCAAATTTTCTCCCCAAAGATTTGCTTCGACACCTGCCTAGAGACAGTGTATTATATTCACACTAAAGACAGGGCATAACAATCGTTGCCAACATATGTTGAAGCTTTCCATGAAGGAAACACAGAGATGTATCCCTGCAACTTGGCGCCTGAAAATGCTGTGCAAGTACTCCATCGAACACTGTACACTGCTGCTAACAGAAAGCTCCCACCACTATAAAGACAAAAAAGATGTATGGCACATGGGGAAATCTGGACTGCATAATAGCTTTTACGAAGGCTATTGGCCTGCATAAACTGGGCAGAGGGCTCTTCAGAATCAGAAGTTCAACAACTGATTCATGACAATTTTCGCCCAGGTCATGTGATTATCTAAACAGATGGCTCTATGTTGAGAGGCAGATGAAGATCATGGGAGTTCTTACCAAAAGTAAACTGACTCGCTTACTGCAACAAAGTCTGACATATGACATCATAACATTTAGTATGAGAATGGAGGTGGAGGCAGTAACTGCAGCCTTTCGCTGGCTTGAGAATCAGATGTAGACACATGACATAATTGTAATACGCTCACAGAGCATGCTGAGAAAGGTGGAGACCAGTATGCTCCGTGAAGAGTGGCAAGCATCGCTTCAGGGGTCTTGGGTAGTTAGCGTCGTTTGGATATTTTCCCCAGGTTGTGCCAGTGCAATAGGGAATGAACACGTAGATAGACTGGCTGGTTTTGCATAACTTGGTGGTGAACTGATTCATGACAAGTTAGATGCTTTCAGGTCCATTTGGAAGCGAGTGAACAGTGCAGAAGCACAGATGGATCATCATGGTCTGAAGAGAATGGTACTGCAAGAAGTGACTAGAGGATCTGGCCGATGATCAGCACTCAAGGGAAAGGTGAGACGGATATACAGTCAGACTGCTACTGGTGCCACTGGAACTAGAACTCTGCTGAAGATGGGGACGGAGGGCTTATGGGAATGTCCCAAATGCTGTGATGTCGATTCTTAATTAAACATTAAACATGATATATTTTGTTACATAAAGCTTTTTTTATCTCATATATTATGTTACATGAACTTTCTAATATCTCATTTATTTTGTTACATGAACTTTCTTATTTCTCATATATTATGTTATATGAACTTTCTTATTTCTTATATATCACATCCTATGAACATTCTTGGTTCTCACAGGTTAACTGTCAAAACGTCACTTCCAGTAACATCGCTTACCAGGGTCAAGATAAGACATGACACTTACCAGGGTCAAGATAAGACATGACCTTCAGAGCCAGATCCCTGGGCAGCCAGGTGATGAGGTCCTCACAGTTGGAAGGGCATCCATGGTGCAACTCCTTGGACATATACACCGACAACAAGTGTAACTGCGGCCACTCACACAATCCCTGTGACAACAGCCAAAAGCCATATTCTACAGCACTAGTTATCATCAATAGATTCAAATTACTTTTTTTTTTTTAAACTAGAAACCATACTTAGATTTTACAGACAACTGGATGTTATCATCCTCGCCCTGCCATGCCATTGTAAGTCAAACATTGCTGGCAGTCAAGTCTTCCATTCTGTTCCATTGTGTACAATCTGCTCGATATCATGGATGGAATCCAATTCGGTATGTGCGGATGCCATGACACAGGCATCAGCTTGCAGGGGTGTCTTGCCAAAAGCATCATCAACCAGTCTTCTACCGCTCTCTAGTAGACACAAGTGTGGGAATGCTACATCCTGCCCACCCTTCGATGTTAGCCACCCTGAATCTTCTGTCTTCCTGATTTCTATTTTCACTCACCTTTTCAAGGAAGGCTGCATAGTCTCAAGGCAAGGTGTCCACCTTGAGTGCTGGAGGTTCTGGGTTCAATCCTTGGTAAGGGCTGGAATTTCTGTATGTGGATTTGGACTTCTAGTAATTTTCCCTGGTCTCTGGGTAGTGAGATCGGATGCCCGTGTGCATTATGGCGCACATAAAAAATAACTTGGCAGTTGAAAATCGAAAATTTTGCGTTAAAAATCTACCCAAGTATTTCAGGATCCTTGCCGGTGCTCTGTGCTGAGCTTCTTCGGACTTTGACTTGAGTTAGAAAAAGAAAGGAGCACTTATGGGTTACTACCTGTGTGCCATGTTGTTGGTTCATTATTCAAATATCGAACCTCAAACCCTCAACTTTTTCCTGAAAAAAAAAATATATTTACAGATGGTGTCACGACATACAAAGTACCTCCCTGTGTTGGTTCCGGGGTCCTATTATGGAGGTTGGGGGCAGAATAGACCTACTGCCCCTAACAAAAGGCATTCAAATAAACCAGATCTGTCAAATGGGTGTGCACAAAAAACTCAGGTTCTGAAACAAGACTACAAGTGGACGAACAACTAGGACTTTTCCCCACCAGTTTACGGCCAGTGAGCGCAAAGAAGAAAGTAAAATATATAACATACTCAAACCAGGCCAACTTTGGCTGTTTCTGCACTGATTGCCTATACACTACTGAATTTCTTTCTGGCACAGACTACAAAAGAATAAACTCTGTGGTCTAGCTACAAACAACAATAAAAAAGAAATATTCACTTACCAATAATCCTTTCATTACCAAGTTCTTCTGTCCATCATTACATTCGGAAAACCACTTCTTCATTAACTGCAAATAAAGCAATAACTGTGTTTAAAAAAACTTATTTCCCAGGTTGCAAAAGCTAAAAACTGATAGAATAGCAATAGTCACACATTCATGTTTCAATTTCTGTGCTGTAGAAGTACTGTAGCTGTTTTCTTCCTTCTTGTATAATTACACATATGCTTTCAGGACACGCCCAAAGGAAGATCAGTAAGACATCTTAAAGAGGACAGAACTTCAGAGGTCTACAACAGTTTTTATGGGTGTGTTTGGTGGCACTGGTGCAAAGTCAGCTGGTACCCAGGGCAGAAGATTTCCTGTTGCCCACCTAACCACCGGTCCACACACACACTTTTTAATGTTAGAAACAGATAATTTTGCCATTATGTCATTCCACCTTCCTAAATGATGACACCAAGTGTGGCCCACAACCCCCTTCCTATGCCACTCGATGTGTAACAATTTGGCAACAGATAATGTTACAATTAAAAAAGCTCAAGCAAAAGCACAATTAAAGAAACTAATTCACAGAGAGAACTAACTGCCCACATCAAAAAAGTGACAATCTACATTCTGTGGTCATGTCATGAGAAGTTGGAGAAAGCTACAGTACATTGTGACAGTAGGAAAGGTGGAGGGAACCAGAGGAAGAGGAAGACTAAAAGTGAAGATGCTGGACAGATTAACATCATGGCATTGAGGATCATCTGTATCAGAGCTGACTGAAAGTATACAAGACACAAAGTTGTGGACAGACATCTACTAACGCCACATAGGATGGACTTCAAGAAGAAGAAAATATGGATTTAAGAAGAAGGAAATTACACAGCCCAATTATAAAATTGCTTTGTGGTTGAATGAAGTAACCAAAAACTAGGTTAAAGTAATACAAACCGTTCTGTGGTTGAATGAAGTAACCAAATACTAGGTTAAAGTAATACAAACCGTTCTGTGGTTGAATGAAGTGACTTAATACTATTATACCTGCATTTTCAGCAGTAAGTTTTATAGCACAATCTTCAGCATCTTGAACACTGGAAACAGCAATTCTTATCTTGCAGCAGTCAGGTAATTTCTTTCTTCAGGCAGCATTAAGCGTTCTGACATATTGTCCCATGCCAGGTCTCACTGGTAAATGAAGTTGCTTCAAAACGGCTCTGCAATATGTGTTTTGTATACAAGCTGACTTGTGTAAAAATTCAGCTCACAATGTGGCTGCATTTTGTCAGCAAGAGAATCCACTAAAACATTCATTAGCCGTATTACAATTCATTAACAGAGGCTAAACAACAGTGACAAATCTTGGTGAGCCAAACAATTTGTTAGCCACGTCAATCAAGGTCAATCTTTAGCTCAGGTATCATTGTATACTGCAATATGATTTCATGAAGCAAACGCAATATAACACTGAGCAGAAGTAATATAGTTTGTAAGGTGGTTTTATAAAGTGACAAGTGACTATTGTCAGCATCTTTCTGTCTTTCCAAATGACAAGTGTTCCATTAGGCTTTGGGAATCACAGCCCAAAAAAATAACAGTTAAGGCCAAGAATGACATTCCTTCTCTCTACAGCATAAAGAATTGGTCTACAGCGTTAAGTCTAGGTCTACAGCAAAAAGTATACAGCATAAAGTCTAGGTCTACAGTATAAAGTCTGGGTCTACAGTATTAAGTCTGGGTCTACAGCATAAAATCTCAGTCTACAGCATAAAGTCTGTGTCTACAGCATAAAGTCTGGGTCTACAGCATAAAGTCTGGATCTACAGCATAAAGTCTGGGTCTACAGTATAAAGTCTGGGTCTACAGTATAAAGTCTGGATCTACAGCATAAAGTCTCAGTCTACAGCATAAAGTCTCAGTCTACAGTTTAAGGTCTGGGTCTACAGCATAAAGTCTAGGTCTACAGCATAAAGTCTAGGTCTACAGCATTAAGTCTGGGTCTACAGCATAAAGTCTGGGTCTACAGCATAAAGTCTGGGTCTACAGTATAAAGTCTGGGTCTACAGTATAAAGTCTGGATCTACAGCATAAAGTCTGGGTCTACAGTTTAAGGTCTGGGTCTACAGCATAAAGTCTGGGTCTACAGTTTAAGGTCTGGATCTACAGCATAAAGTCTGGGTCTACAGTATAAAGTCTGGGTCTACAGCATAAAGTCTGGATCTACAGCATAAAGTCTGGGTCTACAGTATAAAGTCTGGGTCTACAGTATAAAGTCTGGGTCTACAGTATAAAGTCTGGGTCTACAGTATAAAGTCTGGATCTACAGCAAAAAGTCTGGGTCTACAGTATAAAGTCTGTGTCTACAGCATAAAGTCTCAGTCTACAGCATAAAGTATGGGGTCTGGGTCTACATTATAAGATCTGGGCCTACAGCAAAAAGTCTGGGTCTACAGTATTAAGTCTGTGTCTACAGCATAAAGTCTCAGTCTACAGCATAAAGTATGGGTCTACAGCACAAAGGTCTGGGTCTACATTATAAGGTCTGGGTCTACAGTATAAAGTCTGGGTCTACAGTATAAGGTCTGGGTCTACAGTATAAGGTCTGGGTCTACAGCACAAAGGTTGGGTCTACAGTATTAAGTCTGGGTCTACAGCATAAAGTATTGGTCTTCAGCATAAAGTCTGGGTCTACAGTATAAGGTCTGGGTCTACAGCATAAAGTCTGGGTCTACATTATAAGGTCTGGGTCTACAGCAGAAAGTCTGGGTCTACAGCACAAAGGCTGGGTCTACAGCATAAAGTCTGGGTCTACAGCATAAAATCTCAGTCTACAGCACAAAGTCTCAGTCTACAGCATAAAGTCTGGGTATACAGCATAAAGTCTGGGTCTACAGTATAAAGTCTGGGTCTACAGTATAAAGACCACATGTTTTCCCTGCTGCAGGGGCCCTCTATGGTCTGCTTTGTTCCAAAGTGATTAGTAAGGACAATCATTACAACTCCGGATTGATCCACAGATGCTCCAATCTCCTGCTCAATGTTAATTCCAAAGGGAAGATAAACAAATATATCTGATATGATGTCACCTAAACAATATTTATTGACAACTTTACACAAACTATGACATCTTGCTGACACTTCAGTAGCTATGGCTGGTCCAGTACTGGACAGAAGTGATGTTATCAATACCATGCGCTGCACTTATCGTACTGAGAAGCACGCCAAGGGACATGACTTCGTATTCCTGTCTAGACTGGTAGACATGGGGTTGCAGCCTGAAGCTGCAAGAAATGAATATTTCACTAAGGGGACAAGAAGCTACATTACCAACACAGAACAGGCGTCACCAGTCGTTTGACACTTGTGGAACTTTTGCGGAGGAGATGGGAGCAGTTATGGATTTGTCCAGAGTGCTGTGATGATAATCTTATCTAACTACTAATCACATGCTTGTTAGGAGGTGAGTCTATTCTTTGTTCTCTAAGATGGAGCAAGGAAACCCATTTAGAGACATAAACTGTTCAAAGTTGTTATCTGAAGCATAAAGGCTCTTTTTCCTTCTTTCAACTAAAATGACAGCACAAACGGGACCTGACATTCCAAACATACAGGTACGGTATAACTAGAGAAGACTATATGATTTGTGTATTTCAGTGAAAGGGATTCCCTTTTTTTTGGTACTTCATATTCCTGTATGTTGATGTAACTCTGTAGTAACAGACCTGACAAGACACAACAATATATGTGATGCAATCAACTGTGCACTATGCGTTGTGTCTGCATCATTTAAATTCACTAAGGGAAAATATCATTTTGAATTCCCAACATACGTGAGGAGTCAGTAGTAGTTTGAGTTATAATGTTTGGGCTAGTCTCTGAATAACGGTCCCAAATTATCGAAACTGAAAATGTACCCTAAGAGGGCCTCAGTCACATGTAAGCTGCGGACTTTCTGCGACTATACCGCCACTGCCGAGAGTATATCCTGCGCCGCACGGAGTGGGGCTAAACTAGATGGCTGGGACTCACGAGCAAAAAAAATGAAGGAAGCTGCAGGAGATGCTGTAGCTGTCGCTCATGAGTCCCAGCCATCTAGTTTAGGCCCGCTCCGTGCGTAGCGGCGCAGGAGATACTCTCAGCGGTGGCGGTATAGTCGCCGGAAGTCCACAATTTACATGTGACTGAGGTCCTGTTAGGGCATATTTTCGGCCTCGATAATTTGTGACCGTTATATAGCCAATGTTCGTTGCTCCGGTTGGAAACAAATAATTAAACAATTTAAGACAACCTGAAATACCTACCACAAATCTCTCCTTAAACTCCTGTGGTTTAATTCCATTCTGAGTCCAAATTTGCTTCTCTGTGGAACTGCAAGTCTGACTTCTGTGACCATTGCTCCGGTGATCAGCAGATGGCTCCGAAGGTGAAGGAGACTTATAATGGCACTGGTGAGGCTTATAAGCAGAAAGTTTGCTGTTTTGTTTGTGTTGGGTTTTGGAACTTTTCAAAGTGTCTTCTTCCTCACTCTCACTAGAATAATGGCTGCGTCTGTATCTGTAGTTACTCTCAGTCGGTTTATGAAAATGTGCCCATGAGTTTATTTCTTTACTCTTTGGTGGACTTGGAACTCTACCATTAGTCTGATGAAGCTCGGCGGTTGTGTGAGACTCTTTTTCTAAACTGTATATTTCATTTTCATTTTTACTGAATTTATATCCATTTATTTTATTTCCAAAGGCATTTGAAGAATCAGTAGTAGTAGTTCTGCCTGTGTTAAAGTTTCTGATCTGTTCCTGTTGCAAATGAAACTGATCATTGTAATTGCAGTGCTGTTGAAGATGTTGAGGCTGGTGGTAGTTGTTATTATCTTTGGTTTGAATGAATTCGGCAGAACTGGTCAAAAGTTCTACATTATGTTCAGCACTAAATACTTCTGGGTAAGACTGATGCTCCGAGTTCTCAACCTGGCCCAGAGAACTGGATAATGTGGAGATATCTGTTATATCACTTTTAGTGTCTGAACAATGCCCTAAACCTATCAGTCCGTTCTGCTTTTCATCATTACTACTCTCGCCTTCATCTTCATCCTCATCGCTTTCATCTAAACTTGGTCTATCAGCAACACTTGTGTAAGACTCCGGGAATGGCATACTGGGGCTGCTTTCAAAATGTTTGTGTATCCTATCTACACTGCCAGAATAAGAATGCAAACCCACAGCCTGAGAATGTTCTTCATATGAGGATGTTGCAGAATTCATTGGGTCACAAGGATTTGATGATAATTTTCTAACAAGAGGGCTTTTTTTGTGAGGGTAGGGGTGCTGATGTTTATGAGGTATCTCTTTAGGCTCTGTTGAGCATTTCGACTGCTGTAGTGTCATCTCACTTCGCGGTGAAGACGGCACACTCATACTGGGTGCAACCTAACTAAAAATCGTCGTATTGTGACTAGAGACGCTTGCTTGTGATGTTGAATTCCCAAAACCCGTCATGACAATTTTCCAAGAAAATGAAAATAAATTCGCAGTGAGTTAAGCCACAGACCTCGTGAGTTCAAAGTTACATACTCATACTTTACAAATTATATATAGATAATGATTACATTAAGTTATGGGGTCGATTTAGATTCACAATTAAAGCCACGATCTTATTTAAAAAAAATTACAATTCTGTGGTCGGCTGGAAGCAACTTGAGATGGATCCGAAAACTCACAGAAACGAGAAACCACTTGTGACACAAAATCAAATGCTCCACTTTCTGCAACTGCCACCTTGTTGCTTCTTAGATTTAATCAACCACAAGACCAGAAAACTCCAGACCAGTTAGCGTAGAAATGTCTGAGAAATTGAATCCATCAGAAAACAATCTTAGCGAAGAAACATGGAAACCCGACTAGAAGAACAGCCACAAATCCGATATTGCTGGGTAGTCTGCGGCCATGCCCATAAACCCACTTCCATAACAGCAAATATTATGTCAAAGGTGGGACGTTACATTGGAGATTTAGGGGGAGAAATCATACAGGTGACGAATATTCTTCGTCTATTGTACTCTTTGTGTCAATAAACAATGCATTTCTAACGAATATATATTTGTTTCACATATGATATATTTTTATAACGACAACAGGGATATGTGTAAAGAAATGTTTGGTAATCAGGAACTCTTCAGAGGCTATAGCCCCCTAATAGTGGGTGCGTTCCGCTGAGACCATAACGTCAGCTCTCACTGTTGTTTCACCCCCGCCTCTTCTTGGACCCACAATGTCTAGTCCAATGGCTTGCACTCAATAATTGCTCATCATTATTGTTGTGATATCTGTCTTTTTTTGTTAGCTGACATCACTTCTTGAGCACATGACAAATAATATAATAAATGAGAAAAGATCTCGTTTGCGTGCTGTTCTAGAGCATTAGAAGTTAATTCATAACTATCGTACTTCGTGCACTCACTGAAGTTATCAACAGAACTAGAAATCTCTTATTCGCTTCCTCTGCTTCAATGAATGGCGGTTAATACGGGTGGATATGCTTCTCATATTAGTTCACGGACAAATGACACTTATGTGATATTTGCCTGTACTTAACGGTAGGCAGTACAAGTACCTCTTTTTTCAGACATCATTTCTAAAGTATTTTGTAACAGATTGTGGTGAAAACCGGCACCTTTTTTTAATGACACTTTGATCGGCACCTTTGTTAGACACTTTGATGTGAGTATCGGCACCTTTGTTAGACACTTTGATGTGAGTGTCGGCACCTTTGTTAGACACTTTGATGTGAGTGTCGGCACCTTTGTTAGACACTTTGATGTGAGTATCGGCACCTTTGTTAGACACTTTGATGTGAGTGTCGGCACCTTTGTTAGACACTTTGATGTGAGTGTCGGCACCTTTGTTAGACACTTTGATGTGAGTATCGGCACCTTTTTTGTTTTGACTCAGTGATGACTGTCAGTACCTTTTTAAATACTTTGAGATAAACATCGAAACCTTTATTTCTTTTTTTCTTTAATGCCATGGATGTGTGTATTGTGCTTTGTAATCTCAGACGCTAACACGTTGGCAAGCCCTTGGATAGAAGCTTGGTGAAGCACGATGATGCCGTGATAGGAGACTTAGTAACCAATTCTCATGGGAAAAATAAGTAGGCATACCTTGGAGTGGTGGCTGCTGCATCGGAGGACTAGGCTCACATGGGAATGCCTAATGAGCATTGACGTTAGTTGTGATAACGTAACGTAACGTGCTTTATAACAGGGGGAAAGTGCAAATATTGGAACAATGTCAACAAAACAAAATTGTCTTTGACTTTGACATATAATGGCGAGTAAAATTGCTTGTCTCTTTTTCTTTCATCAACTCTTGTTAGGCTCCTAGCCTTTCTATAAAGTCTACATTTAACTGTTTATAACCAGTTTCTCATGGGAACAGTCAATGTAAATACTTTAGGGTGGATGCTGCATTTGGAGACTAAGCACCTATGTGAATGTCCAATCTGCAGTTACGTCGTGTGACAACATACTTAAAGTTTCCGAATATTTACATCTTCTGGATCTCAGCTAGACTTCTAATTGTTATTTTCTTTTTAGCTTATTGCTTATTTATTGCCCAGTGCCTGCGTTACAGAGTATTTTTTAAAAATTAAGAAAAAAAGCGAAATGTGGAAGTAAAAATAGAAGCTGGAATCCAGGATCCTAAAAGTAAGAGTCTTATGCATGCTCTGCCGACTGAGCCAGCCGTGCTCTTTTGGGTATTGCAGTGCAGTTTGACCTCTCTAGGATTTCAGTGCAGTTTGATCTCTCTAGGATTGCAGTGCAGTTTGATCTCTCTAGGATTGCAGTGCAGTTTGACCTCTCTAGGATTGCAGTGCAGTTTGACCTCTCCAGGATTGCAGTGCAGTTTGACCTCTCTAGAATTGCAGTGCAGTTTGATCTCTCTAGGATTTCAGTGCAGTTTGACCTCTCTAGGATTGCAGTGCAGTTTGACCTCTCTAGGATTGCAGTTTGATCTCTCTAGGATTGCAGTGCAGTTTGATCTCTCTAGGATTTCAGTGCAGTTTGATCTCTCTAGGATTGCAGTTTGACCTCTCTAGGATTGCACTGCAGTTTGACCTCTCCAGGATTGCAGTGCAGTTTGACCTCTCCAGGATTGCAGTGCAGTTTGACCTCTCTAGGATTGCAATGCAGTTTGACCTCTCCAGGATTGCAGTGCAGTTTGATCTCTCTAGGATTGCAGTGCAGTTTGATCTCTCTAGGATTGCAGTGCAGTTTGACCTCTCCAGGATTGCAGTGCAGTTTGACATCTCCAGGATTGCAGTACAGTTTGATCTCTCTAGGATTTCAGTGCAGTTTGACCTCTCTAAGATTTAAGTGCAGTTTGACCTCTCTAGGATTTCAGTGCAGTTTGACCTCTCTAGGATTTCAGTGCAGTTTGACCTCTCTAGGATTGCAGTGCAGTTTGACCTCTCCAGGATTGCAGTGCAGTTTGATCTCTCTAGGATTGCAGTGCAGTTTGATCTCTCCAGGATTGCAGTGCAGTTTGATCTCTCTAGGATTGCAGTGCAGTTTGACCTCTCTAGGATTTCAGTGCAGTTTGACCTCTCTATGATTGCAGTGCAGTTTGACCTCTCTAGGATTGCAGTGCAGTTTGATCTCTCTAGGATTGCAGTGCAGTTTGACCTCTCTAGGATTGCAGTGCAGTTTGACCTCTCCAGGATTGCAGTGCAGTTTGATCTCTCTAGGATTGCAGTGCAGTTTGATCTCTCTAGGATTGCAGTGCAGTTTGACCTCTCTAGTATTGCAGTGCAGTTTGACCTCTCAAGGATTGCAATGCAGTTTGACCTCTCTAGGATGGCAGTGCAGTTTGACCTCTCTAGGATTGCAGTGCAGTTTGACCTCTCTAGGTGTGCAGTGCAGTTTGACCATTCTAGGATTGCAGTCCGCATGATTAACACCTCAAGGATGAGAATTCTACATGTTCAACCCCTCCCCCTTCCATAATCTTCGGTGTCCAGGGGAGAGGTTCAATCTTTTGTTAATTGCACACACAAAATAATAATAGTTTTTAATTTTAGTGAGCTGAAAAATCAAGCTTTGCTATAATAATAAATGGAGAATAAATGGTTAATATAAGAAAAAGTAAAGAAATGTATACAAAATATAGTGTAATCAATTAATGTGTGGTGAGATCCTGGGTACTAGATGCGTTAAAACTTGGAGGGGAAAAAAAAGGGGGGGGGGGGAGTCGATTCAAGCTTACATGTCTATTTGATACTTTAAATAACAGTTGAGTCTACCTGTTTACATACTCTAGCACGAAATTTTGCTTACAAACTAAAAAAAAAAATGTGCATTTTTTTTTAACAGTATTGAGATAATGTGCTAAATGGCAAAGTAAATTTAACAATAAGTTTAAAATGATATGAAACAAAAAAATACTTAAAAAGAAAACACCCACACCTGGTTTGGAATAGGTGGGCTGTAGTTTTACATGACCTTAGTATGTAAAACGTTTCAAAAAGCAGTCTGCATTTATTTTTTTAATACAAAACACTGTTATGCAGAAAAAGAGAACAAAATCCGCCCAACGTGGGGCTCGAACCCACGACCCTGAGATTAAGAGTCTCATGCTCTACCGACTGAGCTAGCCGGGCTGCAGATCTCTTATTAACGAGAGTTAACACTTCAGTAACGTTTTACTCGGTGGCCAGTTTTTAAAACAAGTTTCTTGAACATGAATTAAAATATGACGATCACATTCAATGTCCTGTTGTGCCGCACACCGCGCACAGTCTATTCCCCCATCCCCTTCTATCACGTGCAATACATTCGATAAATGATTGATTTGATTTGATTCAAGAACCGACATCACAGCACTCATCCCATAAGCGCTCCGTCCCCATCTTCAGCAGCCAGTGAAGAGTTCCGATACTAATGGTGCCAGTAGCGTTCTGATTAAACGTCCGTTTTGCATTTCCTCTCAGCCTCGAGCATCTGCCAGAACCTCTCGTCACTCCCCGCTGTATCAATCTCACCCGACTGTGGTGTTCCATTTGCTCCTCCGAACTGTACAAGCTCTCCCACAAGGCACTAATCACACCTGCCTTATCAGGTATCAGTATTCCACCAAGCTGTGCAGAGCCAGCCAGTCTGTCCGTGTGTTCATTTCCCAACACACCGGCGTTCCCAATGAAAACATCAGGACAATACTCCTCACCCGTGTCCTCCGCAGCGATAAATATTTGATAAATAACAGATGATGGACTGCATGACGTTGGGTCACCAGTTGTTCTTGCAGTGAGTGGCGATTCAACCCCATCAGACATCCACCAAGCGATAAACACCCAGTCACACAAAGTGCCACTATGCGGGTGAGGATCACGCAGGGAGAAGTCCCAGAAACCATGTTCAACCCTCAGGTTATATTAAGGCCCATGACTACATAGTAAGTAAGTAACTTTGACCCCACCAGGACATCACACAAGCGATTAACACCCGATGACACAAAGTGCCACCATGTGGATGAGGATCACCTGTGGAGAGGTCCCGGAAACTGCGTCCAGCCATTAGACCACATTTATGACTGGGCTATATTGCGGCCCCTGGCAAGAGCCAGGGTGGGGCTTCAAAATAACGATTAATGGCATCCCATAAGGAGATGACTAGGTTATATTAATTATTAATTACCAATAACCCCGACTACAGCCGGGGTGGGCCCTAAAATGACGCTTTCAGGCGTATTGGGCATATAGGGCAAGACCTATATTTTACAGACTAATCGGCACTTGGCTGATGATATGGTCAGCATTACACTGGCCGCATTTACTTCCCAGAACTTTACCTGATACCCATTTAAGGATGGGTTGACTTGGGCTACTAGTACCACTACTACAGAAAGTGCAAATAGCACCGTGGTACGGAACATCTCCCGTCGCGGAAAGTCTAAAACGCGAAAGAGTTCTTCCTCGTCAATTTCTACTTTCCAGCGTCTAGCAGAAACAGTTGACCGGGGCCGAACATTATTGATAACTAGTAATTAAACTTCGCTACGGACAACATTAAAATCAAGTATTGATCGGCTGTCATAGAACGAATGAGATGTAGATAATAAATGGCATACACTTAGACAGCAGAGAAAAATGCAATGTGTGGCGTTGCACTGTTGTTGCAACGGATTCTCATATAACTGGACTGATTTTGATTTATTGATTTATTTCATTCATTGAAGTTTTAGTTCTGATAACGGATAACGCAGTCTCAGCTGGAAACACAATAAGATTGTATTTTTTGTTTGTCCCCTGTGGAATCAATGGAAGAGCTGTTTTGGTTCACACCTTGCAGTGGCAGTTTGAAGCTGCCACTGCAGGTTTTATGTTCGTGCAAGAATTATTGCACAGTTGAAGGGTGCGGGTCACCATTGACGCTAGTAAAATGTCATCAGTTCAGTCCGTTTGTTCTTTGGTCTTCACCACTGTGCCCTGTAACCCCTTCTTTTACAGCTATAGAGATAATGTGTGTGGTTTTGCCGGTTCAAATCCCCAAAAATTACTGAACCGTGTTATTTTCCCTCTCAGTGCAATCAAACATTTATCTGCCAGCTGTATGTGTGTGTATATATATATATATATATATATATATATATATATATATATATATATATATATATATATATATATATATATAATATGTATACGTTTTTATTTCAATGTTTTCTGAGTTTTAAACAAAAATTGCTCAGCAAAACAGCCTTTTCAGTGATGTCACTTTACAATGATTGGAACAAAATTCTTCCCACTACCTGACTCTTACCGAAAGGAACTCTGTTAGGACGATGATGTGAAAATAAATGCAAAGGCCATTGGGATTAAATCTAAATACTGCAGAGAATTCACACACATTCAGTAAAGAAGCCAACCAAGCAAGCAACTGGTTAACCAGGTTATCAACCAACCAGACCACCATCACATGCCATGATTTTATGTAATTCTGTTTCTCCAGTGGATCTGGTGCCCCATTGAGGGGTGGGGGAGTATTATTGATCCACGGCCTCTAAACAAACATGTCATAGAGGACAAATAATTAGGGTTTTGTTGAAATCAGGTGTGTTGGGCTGAAAAGCACAGATATTGCAGCCTAGCTGTCAACCACAACAGAATGTGTGAACGGCCATGTTAACTCTTTCAGGCCCATGAATTTTGACAAACTTGGTCCAAATTAATTTCCCTTTACAACAATGGCAGAGGGGTGGGTGTACAAGAAAGGCAATAGAGAATGTAATACTTCTAATCCTAATAAAAGTATATATTTTTTAAAAGAGACATGAATGTACATTTTGAATCTGATGATAAGTGTATGTTTAATTTGTTTATAGTTAGTAGGAAAGAAGAATTCAACAGGTGTTAATTTCACAACAACAACATTTTACAAACAAATTCTTCACTTACCATGATTTTGCAGCTACACGAGTAGTGAATATCTAAATTTAAGATTAAAACTTCAAAGTTTGTTCAATTTCCTAACAAATTCCATAGTTATGATAAGTTTCTGTGTTAGTTTAGCACTCAGGGGCTCGTAGTTCGCACAGTGTGCTGAGAAAAATTTCAGAGAACAAATGGCAGAAAAATTAGCCATTACATACACGCTATTTACTATTTACAGTTATATACAGACTATCTGCGATGATTTCAATGTAGCTTAGCCATAGTATAGTACAATCTCTTTGCTAAGAGCACTTTCCTTCTCTTACATCATAAATACGAAAGCAATGTGACATTGTCTGTGTAATAAACTCATCAGAATCGCTAGATTTCGAACAGTTTCGCTGGTGAAAAATCACGGTCTGAATCATTTTCTGAAAAATCTACATTTTCATTATCATTATCAGAATTAAAAACATCTCACTGAAACAATTTCAGAGCTTCGGCCACAGAAAGATGCATTCTGCGACCTGTACTTGTGGTTTGAACATTGGTATTCATGGCACTCAAAAACGAACTTAGAAAATGCACTGTTGAAAAAATTTTACTGTGAATCCGTTCAAATTATTCACATATGATTTCTGATAGGGAAAGTATCTGAAAGGATTTTGGCAGAATGACTTTCCCTGAATAGTTTAATTGTACTTCCGAACATTAGAAACAAGTACAGAGCCGTGTGCGAAGCAAAATGTACAGGATACACGATCGACGATGACAGCATTTTTCAGGCAAAACGGAACTTCTCAATCAACGCTCACACCGTTGCTTGGGCCTTATAAAATTAAGGAAATGCGGCAGAAGAAGAAGAATGTATTTTAGTGCCGAGATGGAGTAATCGCTCAGGTTATGGTTAGTTTCCTGGTCGCCAAAGTGTTTTGAAAACTAGATAACAAATGCAGTAACCCACATATATCTATTGAGTTGGTTAGTACACAATGAGTTTAGTCACCTTGAACACACTGGTATTCACATAAAGTTCGTTCATTCACTCTCTGGACTTAGTACCTAAATATATTTATTTCTTTTATTTTATACAGAAACTGTCTTTAGCTGAAGTTAGTGTTTGACACTCTAACATGGAGCTCCATCGATTTTCACGAACCCAGATGGTTTATGTAACTGTCCTGTCATTATGTTTCCTGTACACATATACAAATGGACAGAAATCTCCCTCAACAAAAAATAAGATAGAAGAAGATGTACAGGAAGTGTATCAGCTCCCAAAAGAAGTAATTGTGATTGGTGCAGGGGCAGCTGGGCTGGCAGCTGCAAGAAAATTATCATCAGATAAACAGAACTTTACTGTAACAGTTTATGAAGCCAGGAAAGATCGCTACGGTGGTCGTGTGTGGACAGATAAATTGACAGATATGAAAGCCAGAGGTAATTTGTTTGTTGCATTGTTCTGCTACAAATTATTTTCTGTTTACAGTGTTGGTAGGGGGAATTGAAACAGGAATGAGCAGAAAAGTTGTTATAAAAAGTGGAGTGTAGTCACTGCTTAGCTACACGTTCATAATCTGTTTGAATTACCGTTAATTCCTGGCAGACTGCAGTTGTTGGAGGTATGTAGAGAGAATGGCAGTTAACAGGGAGAAAAATATGAAGGGGGACTAAATGCTATTTGTAGCCAAATATATGACATTACTAAAATGTTCAATATTTTCTTGTAGCCACATTTATGAGACTGTTACATCAAGTAATAGTTTCTTTGCATGCACATGTGTATGTGCATGCATGTATGTGTGTATGTATGTGTGTGTAATGTGTACCTGCACAGGACTGTAGCTACCCCAGGTGTACCTTTAAAGTTGCAAGGGTGGTTAAAACTACACATAGCAGCTCAGAGGGGACAAACACAGACAGACACGCAGAATATTTCCCTTAGGCAAACTTGTGAGACTGTTACTCTGTTTAATACTTTCCCATAGCCAAAGCTGAAGAGACTACCACACTGTTTGATATTTCTTCTTCTTCATTTTCTTTGTGTTCACCAGCTGTAAACTCTGGCAGAAAGTTCTGGTTGTTCATCCACTTCTGGAATGCAGTCCTGTTCCAGAACCTGAGTGTTGCGTTTGCATCCGTTTTACAGATCTGACTCATTTGTATGCAGACTGCTGGTTCCTTGCCTCTCAGGCAAATGCACTCAGACTTCGAAAGAAGCTCCCAATTAGTCGACTCTTTACGACATGCTTTTGGGTAGGCAGTGGGTCTGTTCTTGTTTTCCCTATAATAGGGCCCTGGAACCCACAAGGAGCGATATTTCCATGAAAGGAAATACACAAGACTGTTACAGTGTCGACTATTTAGCTGTGAGATTATTCAAGTGTTTTATGTTTTTTTACAGCCAAAAAATGTTGAATACTTTTATCTCCTGTTCTTGTTGGTGGTAACACCATAGCACATTAATGTTTATTTGTAAATGTTGCTGTTACTTTTCTAGAACTCGCTGCTTCTCATTCTGTTAATTTGTTGTCTGCCTCTTTAAAACTACTCCTTGACTGTGAGGAGAATTTTTCTCTTTATAAGTCAGGAACAGTACTTCTTGCCTGCTGCAATTCTGTCTTTTTTCCCCCCGCACATAATCTTAAAATGCTTACATTTTATTTTCCTCATTATGTATGCTGTAAACAGAAAGTAACTCATTGATACTGACACACTCAGTAAACATAATTAAGAAGATCCAAATTGGTAAACTCCGACTAGAATTGGTTGACAGAAGTTATGCCTCAAGAAATCATCTTACTGCTTTGTGGTACACACGAGGATATGCCTAGGTGAAAGGAAATGAAAGGGCTTTAACTTGAGTAGTTGGGGCCAGGAAGAAGTGTATTCCTGAGATGTAGAGACAAACAGGAAAGAGATACTGAACATCCTATTGGCTGTAAACTAGAACAAGCATGCAGAAACATGTTGCAGGGCAAACAAAGAAGATATTCTGGTCAACTGCTACTGGGTACGGGGAGCATGAAGACACAGACACTAGGGTAGCTGCTGAATCGAAGGACAAAGCAGAAGTGGGTCAGACTATTGTGCTAGAATGTTGATGTAGATAACAAATAACATCTGCTGTATTTCCATTTATACATACTTCTATCCCAGGTTGACTCAGCCTTGAGTGGGTACTAGAGATACAAGTCCTGGGAAGTAAAGGTGGCCAGCATGATGCTGACCACATCACTCATCAAGTGCCGATTGGTCTATAAAAATATAGGTCAGACCCTATATGCCCAATTCCCCTCAAGGCATGGAAAGTGGAGAAGGGTCTTTTACTTACATCTCTCATTCCTTTGCTAGTTCTGGGGATTTTGTAGCTCAAGGAAGGTAAGCCAGCAGTATGAATCTCTTATGGCTTTCTCCTTAGGACATCATATGTTTTTCAGTGAGAACCCCCCCCCCCCTTTCAATATGATTGGCAGTGTTGCTTTCCTTTTTTATTGACTTATTCTCCTTTGACTGGATTTTGCAGCTAAAGATTTCTGCAGCCTGAGGTAACCAGTCTAACACGAATTGTCCTTTGTCGTCCTTTACCAAATGCATTGTATGCTGCAGCGTTCGTGTCCTTTATTTCCAGCATAGGGCGTTGCAGAACCAACGTCAGCAATTTGTGACTGTTTAGTTTTGTTAGGGAAATTTACTTTCAGTAGTTTGCCATTACTTCTTAATTGTCGGCTGTATATACCATTGTATAAAACAACACAAGGTGGTCTGCTGCCTGTTTACCCACAGCTGGATTAGAACCTGTTATCTCAGAATTACCAAGTGTGTTTGTAACCCCTAAGCCACAGATGGCAACACATTTTTATAGTTAATATGATCTTGTAGGCACTTCTGACCTCTATGATGCTTTCCTCTCTGGGATGACCTTTTTATTTTAATACTGCCTTCAGGTGCAGAAGTTGACCTTGGCGGCTCTGCCCTGAGTGTCATATCCAAGGAAAACCCACTGATTGAGCTAGCAGAGCAGTTTGATTTGAAGATGGCTTCAGTCAAGGATCTCCAGTTTATTGTACCTTGGGAAAAGAAGGCCTACACTGGTGCAGAACTCTCAGATATCACACACCAAGCTGCACAGGTGAGTACATTTTTATCGCTGCTGATCTCTGCAGGTCATGTCACAGTTAAGAACTGACATCACAGCACTCTGGAATTCTCATAAGTGCTCCATTTTAGTCTTCAGCATCCATCGCAGAATTCCAATTCTGATAGTTATATCACAGCAGGTATTCAGTCCAAATTTAAATAGAACAGTGTTTTTTTTAATGCATAGAAGACCCATGCCTCCGTATACAACCACCAGGTATAAACAACCTTATGCAAGGAAGAAGCAACCTTAATTAAACCGTCTAGAACAACAAGACAAAATGGAACCAAAAGGAAACCATATTTGAACCAGTCATACATAATAAAGATGGCAACTATAGGCATCAGCTACATAGCTGAAAAAGTCTGAACAAGATCGAATTATCTTTTTCTTTTACAAGAAGCAAGCAAGGGGAAGGCTGAGAGCTTTTGCTCCTATAAAGAAGAAAGATTATTGGTAGAAAATGCCCACTGATGTATATGGCTTTCTTCCCCCCCCCCTTTTCATTATATTCAAAGAATATTTCTATAGATTTAAGTGAACAAAAAAACAAACAAAAAAACCAGTTGTCTATTTTTTAATTATGGAGCTTTCTTTGTTTGTTGTCTCACTGATACCAGGTTGTAGCCCAGTATCATAGTTTCCTGTATTTGTCTTGTGCTTCTCAGGTGGCTTGAATGATGGATTTGCTCATCTTTTTTGCAGGTTTCAGCTACACCATTTATCCATCTATTTCTTGGTCTTCCTCTCGCCTTCCTCCCAAATATTTTGTAACTGTAAAAAGTCTCATATGCAGCCTGGTCTGGCTGCATTCTTACTAGGTGGCTGAACCATTTCATTCTGTGTCTATCAATATAATCAAGACATAGTCTTATTCCAACTTTCTCTCTAATGCTGGTATTCGAAACCCTGTCTTGTCTGGTGTTGCTAGTGACCTTGTGGAGACAGCGCATTTCACATATAATTATTTTCTATTCTAGTTCCCTATCCACTGTCCATGTTTGGCACTGATGACATAAAGTAGGGGTAACAAAATGAAATTAATCATTTCCTGTTTTGCTGGAAGGGAGACATATGAGTGTCTAAGCAGTGGGGCTAACTGGTAGGTGACAGCATTTGCCTTCTGTACTCTGACTTTTATCTCTCTGTCGAGTCTGCCATCCTCCGTTTATATGCCTCTGTCGCGCGCCCACGTGGGTAAATACACTGATATAGTGAGGGTGTGGGTTTGAACCTTAACAATGCCCACCCACGTGAGAAACTGGACTATTATCTAAGCTATGTTGATCCTAGACAGTCCTGGATAGCCAAGAAAACAGCGAGTGGCTCGTTCCATGAAATGAAAGTTGCTGCACTTGTATCCACAGGAGTAGGAGAAGGGATAGATAGATATCTGGATAAACCCACTGTGATATAATCCAGGTGCTCAGTTAACCCCTGCGACTGGTCTCCTCTCCTGGCATTACTTAAAAAGCCCCCATCAAGTGATTTAAATATTTGTTAGCTGAAGTAAACTAATATGCACAAAGACACTTGAACCTAAGTACACAATTTACTCAACTATCATGAAACTCATCACACATGATTTATTTAATAAATCTGACTAAAATAAAATGAACTTGTTTAGGCTAGTAGAGTTGGGATGATGTTATAGATGACATTAAAGTTGTACATAACTTATCTCATCAGGACAGTTCTCGGCTTGAGACCCTGCCTATCTTTTCCAGTTTGTCGTCCTCACTGCTTTCTGCAGGTCGTTACACTCGACGGTCGGCAAATAATGGATGCCTACTAGTCCCTGCCCAATGTGGGAACTGGAGAATGAAGAAACAAGCGCATATTTGTAGTATCTGCTCTAGATTTACACTAAGCATGTATATTATACTAACATCAAGCATGTTTATTTAAATAAAACATTTCATCTCTCCCTCATGCTCACATTCACTCCTGTCCAATTTGGAAGGGCTTATGTCTCACATTCCAACTGTTACATCTTCTGCCTTCCTCTACACGTCCTGTAATGATAGTCAAGTCTTCTACGTCAGGTGCCATCTCTCGTACAGACTCAAAATGACAATCAGTCAGACAGAACCAGTTCTGGAATCTATGCTTGGAACAATCAACGCGCCCAGAATGCTAACAATAGTTCTGGGGCGAATCAAATAACAAATCTCGTGGATTTACTCTCCGGGATCAATCTCCGCATTAGCCTCCCGAGAGTTAAACACATTTCAGTGTGTAAGCTGTATGTAATACAGATTCACATTAACCACACGTGAAAAGATTGCCAAAGTTATCTTCACGCTTGTGATTTCAAAAACATGATAGTTCATTAAATTTCAATGGCAACAACAACATTTAGGTTTTACAACATTGAAACACACGTGCACGAAAAAACATTCATGACACTATAAGTTAGGATATAAAGCAATGTGACAGTGCCCTGCGAGAATGAAGAAATGTCCGCCTAGGAGTATTACAAAGTGATGAAGACACACACTTGAGCAAAAAGACAGTTAGATCTCTATCATAAATAAAATAAAGGTTTTGAAACTAATTTCGATCTTACCTGGAAAAATGAAACCACAATGCCAAAAGTTCTGTCTCAAGCTTAGGTTAAGCCCAACAGATGGCATGTGCTCGACAGGATCTCATTTACCAGACCTATAGTTCACCCCTTTATAACTTTTATCAAGCTCCTCCTACATTACGCCTAAAATCATTCTCATTCAGGGATATCACAGCTCCTCCCTGTGGGTGTATATTCACTGTCAGTCAGTGACTGTACAACAATTGTTTGAATTCCCACGCTCACATTCTACAGGTTCAATTAAGCTGGTCCCAGCTAATAGGCCTAGTCACACCTCCAGTCTACTTCACCTGTCATCACAATAAAATCCGACTTTGTCAATTCTTCTGCCAACACTTTCCGCTCACTGTGTCAATAGTAACGATTTGACCGGCACTCCAGTTTAGGTAACCTCAGGGGGAGATAATGGCAATTAGCCCTTGTTATCTGTTCCTGAAGATCTGGCAGGGGGAATAACTATCTGACACCAACAAATGGTGTGCAAATCTCCAGTCAGTAAGTCTGCTTGGTCAGTCTTATCTCTGTACCTTAACACTTAACATCTGGGAAAAAGTTGTAGTGTTTGATATGACCAACGGTCCAGGAGAATTAAAGGTGTGATGTGGTCATCCTATTTAGATTAAGGATGTATCCAAATCCCTCTTTTCCTGTATACTTTCAAAATACAAAGAAATAAAAGTAGGTTGAGGAAAGACATTCTGGAGTCACCGAGCGTATTGTCACAGAGCCTCTCCCTTAAGTTCGGTCACCCTGACCGCACATCAGCACGCTCTGTGGCTTCCAAGAATTTCAAGTCCTCCTTAGCATAACTGCCCATAAGTTTTCTGTTTCCAGTATTCTTTATGGCAGTGGGAATTCCTGCACTCGTCTGCAGATATCCCATGTCCTTTCATCCAGGATAATTCAATACTGTCATTGATCCTGGTAATGAGCGGGTATTCCAAGCAGTCGCTCGGTAATGTCCCTTTGTCCGGAGGTTCCTCCTTCCATCGGATAATCAAAGATCCATGCTTTGTCAACGGGACTCCTCTGCGCCGTTGACTGACAACCTCTGTGCGTTTCCTCCCTTCGCCGCGCCCTATCTGCCTAGGGAGAGCCTGAAGTGTTCTACTAAAAGGATTAGTTGCAGTCAGGTTGGATCCTCTTTTCCTCAGTCTACAGATCTTGAAATAATCTGTCACAAATCTCCTCTTAAAACGACGAAGGATATCTTCACTCATCGTGATCCCACGAAGTGAGTGCCACTTACCACTAACAATTTCTCTGAAGAGTGTCCATTTGTTGCCTCTTCGGTGCATTCTGTCTTTACCTTGCCAAATTGTCAGGGTGGAATTGTCTTTAACAAAGATCAGTCCAGAGTCAGAGCACGAAATCAAGTCAGGGAGTTCAGTAGAATCATAAGAAAACTCAGGGTTTCCTGTAGACTGTAAGGTGGGATTTCTTCGCAATGAAGTTTCCACCACCAGCTGAGATACCCCTGTCACTTCATTCGAAGCAAAGAGTACTACAAGACCAGAATGTTGGGGTTCCCTACTATTCATGGCTTGTTCTGCTTCAGGGTCCTTCATCAGAAGTATCCCTGTCGCCCCAGCTGTACAGGGCAGCAGAGACAAGTTGTCTCCCTGCTCACGAAAAGTATTTTCTTCTTCGATAATGGCAAACACTTCTGTCTGTCCATTATCGACGTGCACAGGCCTAGCAGAATTGTCCTGTTTATGTCGAGTCTCTAAGATCGTCAAGACGTCCAGAGAACTCTCCTCCTCATCTGCTATATTCACATTGGTCTGGCTTTCATATGCCAAGTCCAGTGAAAGCAAATCAGGAGGTGTGTTGCCGCCATCGCAGTCAACTCCTTTTGGTGTAAAGTCAGAACTAACACATTCCATTAGGCATGCGGCCGCATCCCAGGAAATAGGGGACACCGGTTCAGCGTTATTCCCTACATCAGTCTGCTTTAATTCCTCTTCTTGTTTGAAGGGACCAAAGGGGATATGGGAGTTGGGTAAGTCTTTGCCCTCGTCCTCATTAATGTCTGGTGTGTCAGTCGAACAGCTATGTCTACGGTTACAACCGTTATCACGCTTGTCATTACTGTCAGGTTCGCTCTCATTTATCTCGTCTGAGGTAATGGGAGTAAGGGGTTCCAGCAATGTAGATCTGGTCCCTTTAGAAGATTTCTGCTTCTTGTTCCATCTTTTCCTTTTAGGCTTAAGAATGGAAGTTAAGGGGTCCAGCAATGTAGATCTGGTTATCCCTAAAGAAGAGTTCTTCTTGTTGCCTCTTCTCTCTGTAGAAATAAGAGGTGTGAGATACTGTCCTCCGGTTTTTATGTTTTCTTCCTTAGCTGTTGAGGTTGGCCAAGGAGTGCTCACCTCAATGGTTAGATAGTGGGCCCCCACCATACCTGCTTGAGTTTCAGCCTGAGGTAAAGGTTTTTCCTCGCATATACTCGCAGTTTCCTCAACGCTAATGTTTTCTGCTTGCTGTTTTATCCTATCTTTTTCTGCCCTCTCAAGTAGCAGTTTTCGATGAATTTCTTCACTCTTACGCCGCATCCTTTCAGCAAATCCTTCCTGAATACACTCTATCTCTCTTTCTAATTCTTCTCTTATAAGCTGTATGTCTCTTTCATACTCTCCTTTCCTTAGCTGTTCCTCTCTTTCATACTCTTCTTTCCTAAGCTGTTCCTGCCTATTATATTCTTCTAGCTCCAACTGGCGCTTTTTCTCTGCAGCATTACGGGCAACCATATAATCAAAAGTATCCATCTGGCATTTAATATATGTTTCTAACTGTGCCCCTACTCTACCCTCATCTATCCCGAATTTTCTTACATCTTTTTGGTACTCGGTATGTGAGTCCATTCTATCTATTAGATCTATCTAAAGATAAATATGATACTACCCCGAGTCCAGATTAGAAGAATATATCAGAGCAAGGTAAACTGGCCTATGACAGCCGCACAAAGATGTAAATAAATCAAAGTGGCCTACCAGACTGACAGCTTTTAGAATAGTATAGCAGCACAAAGATTACACCGGTAAATGATATGATGTGATCTTACAATCAGTCACTAAGCATAATATCAATGATATGATGTCAGCATGTAATATGTTCTACATTCTATATCAAATGAAATATGCAAGCAAAAAAAATCATCAATTCATCAACTCTAACTAAGCACTATAGATTACACATTGATCAATGTTCATGAAATGTTCAATGATAGACAGTTAACTCATATGATTTCTGTGAAACTGATTTCTTTCCACCAACTATGAGTGTACCAAAACTATTCAGCATTTTTGACATCTCTTAGCACAATTTTCTACATAAAGGTTGAGCAGGCAAGGACAGATAATGCAGCCAACCATGCAAACAAAAATCATGAAACATTAGAAACAAAATAAGCCTCACTCTCAGACCACTAATTTTTTCATAATTTCCCTCATTTATGTATTAATTAAAAAAACAACAACAACACACACACACACACACACACAAATTCTTCTTCTGGAACTGAAACCTGAAAGATCGACACCCACTGATTCAAAGAGCCACTTTTTAGGTGCCAACCCAAGAGGAACAAATTCCAGACACACCGCTCAGTCATGTAAAGCAGTTAGCCCTGGGCACTCAACAGCTACACTATGTACGCTACTGTTGGTAGTTGGAAGAAGTCCTAAGGTCCTAAGGTGTTTGTTTAAAAGTGTTACTGAATTTACTTATTGCATTCTTAATACATTTTTTTTTAGCTAGTTGCGTATCCTTTACAGGACGTTGCAGAACCAACCCCAGCAATTTTTGGCTGTTATGGTTTTTCTAGGCACGTTTACGTCCAGTAGTTTGCCATTGCTTTCTGGATGGTCGGCTTCTCGATACCACTCTCAAAACCAACGCAAGGTACAAGGCCCGCAGCTGGGATCGAATCCGGCACCCCGGCCTTGCGAAGCGCATTCGCAATGCCTAAGCCACAGATGCCGACTCCTAATACATGGACAAACCATTTTATTTGATGTAAATTATGGATCAGTCATATTGCTTTAGTAAACAATTGATTTGTGTTTATTTAGATTTTAGGACAAGCAATAAATCAGTCCAGAGCTGAGAAGGTTGAGATCTCAATGAAAGAGGCCATTGACAGAGTGATAGCCACAGGGGAGATTATTGACTCAGCCAGGTTTGTTGGAGTGATTGTTTTTTAGTTAACAGTACTTTATCTGTTGTCTTTTCTTCTGCCCTCTATTCCTGTGTGGAGCATAGGGTCTCAACCAACTCACAAGTCAGTCTAGCCTTTGCTGTCGCATGCAGCTCAGCCCCCATGTCCTCCCCATTATCTAACTTTACTCTCTAGCTCCAATCTCCATTTTTTGTTTGGTCTGCCTTTATTTCTACACCCCTGTGAGTTCCAGTGAAAAAGACATTCTAGTTTTTTTCGTTCTTAGGTTTTCTCAACATCTGTTCTATTTAACACCAGCATCTTTTCTTCACCTCGTAACTCAATGGAAGCTGTTTAGTTCTCTTCCAGAACTCCACATTATGTAATTTCCTGTAATCTGTGGAGACACCATGTTAATGAATGTTTGTAGTTTATGAGTAATTATTGCTGTTCTCCAAGTCTTACTTTGACCTCTGCATTAGGGAGGTGCATTTCTGGGTGAGTTCTAGCAAAGGACTGTTTAAACACAGGTGGGGCATCATACATATAGTGTTAGACTCATATTTATTTTAATAAAACAGTCAGCTGTTGGTGGGTGCTGTCATCATCATGCTAGCCACCTTTACTTCCTAGTACATTTCCTAGTGCCCATTTTAGGCTAGGTCGACCTGTTAACTCAGGTTAATTATAACAAACCAAATTCAATGCAGATTGAACCATGACCTGTCCGTGTGGGTTCCGGGGCCCCATTGGGTGGGGTAAGAAAGGACAGACCCACTGCCACCCTAACAAGCAGGTAGAAAGATTTAACTAGGGGGCTTCCTTCAAAGTTGGAGTGCATATGCATGAGAACAAGAAACTAGCAGTCTGCATACAAATAAGCATACGTAAAATTCCAGAAAAGTCAAGAAGTGGATGAATAGCAAGAACTTTCTGACAGAATTTACAGTCGTCAGTGTGAAGAGGGAGAAGAACACATGACCTTCGGGTTTTCAGCCACTATACTACTGCAGATCTGTAGGTGTAACATACTCTACACACAAAAATAAACTAGTAGCTTAAAAAAAGTGAATAAAGTTGTAAAAATTATAGAACTATTTGTCAAATTCTTCTTCTTCTTCTTCTTTGTTCACCAGCTGTAACTTCCGGCAGATAGTCCTGGTTGTTCGTACATTTGGACTTTGGCTTTGTGCCAGGGCCTGAGTTTTGTGTGTATATCCATTTTACAGGCTTATTTGTGTGCAGTTGGTTATTACTCGGGCAGATGCACTCCAACTTTGAAGGAAATCCCTAATTAGTTGACTCCTATGACATGCTTTTTGGGGAGGCAGTGGGTCGGTTCTTGTTTTCTCCACTGTGGGGCCTGGAAGCCACACGGGGAGTCAGATTTGTGTGTTTCTCACAAATTGTTTTATTGTTTCAGTGCTGGAGCTCATTTTGTGAAATGTTTGCCTTCATACATCCTTGATAACTACTCAACACGGAACTACAAACCTGAAGCATTGGATGTGGGATATGATAAAGTATTGCTGGATGGGATGGGGGAGCTTTTAGACAGGTAAGTGGCAGTAAATGAAACTATGAATTTGACAGCTAGTCCACCTCTTACAGCATAAGACAATCCCAATCAGCACAAAGAAACACCTCATATAAAAGCATATTCATTCCCATCCTATTCTACCAGGCCAGACATGGTCATTCACAACAGGCCAGTTAAGACAGTTAGTAACTATGGAAAGCAGATGTCTGAGAAAGGCTGCAAGAGTTACCAGAGGAGATAAAATCAGGAATGAATTCATAAAAAACAAATCTGGCATAGAACCAATCTGGAATTACATACAAAAACAGCAACAGTAATGGTTTTCCCACTTGAGAGAGAATGCCTTATCATGCTGTACTCTATACGGCATATTCCAAAAGAGGAGAAGGACGTAAAAGATAAGGTAGACCAAGAACAAAATGGACAGATAATATCAGAAAAACTCTACAGCTGTTTGATGTGTGTATAGCCAAGGCAGCCAGAAAAGCAAGAAGTGGAATATCTCCCTCGACATCTGAAGCTATAAAAAGAAGAAGTGAAGAAGAAGAAGGAGCAACTATATCCTATTGCTAAGGAGAAAACTACTCCCCCCCCCCCCCCCCCCCCCACCTCCTTTTCACAATAAATTTAACTTCGTACTCGTTGAGGTAAATAGAACGAACGAACGATCAAACTTTATTTTCAAAGGGTTAAGAATTGGGCACACAGGCCCGTCTTACATTCTGCCCTTCTGGCCTCACGCCATGCATACATTATTTATGCAAACATTGTTTTAGAAGAAAGTAATAATAATAATAATAATAATAATAATGATAATAACAAACATCATCAATAACATCTTTGTAACAATGTACTCTAAGTATGCCTACATTTTAAAACAGTTATAATACTAAATATAATAAATCTTGGTGGAAATCAACAATATTCTTAGGAAACCTTATCTTCTAAGGGGGCATGTAGTCTGAGGTGAGATAATATTCAAAAAGCTTACAATTGTATTTGTACGGGGTTGTTGATATTTTTTATTGGTTGTGGAAATTGGTTCCACAGATGAGCTGCAGAGTACGCCAAGCTTGTTTTGTACAAGTCTATTCTAGGTTTAGGGATGTGTAATATGTTTAGGTGTTTGCTATGTCGCTCATTATACTTGAAGAATGGCCAAAGGTAGTCTGGGGCATTTTTTGATAAGAATTTGTTAATAAATTTGGCCTTGTTGAAAAGTAACCGTTTATGGAAGGGTAGTAATTTAAAATCTTTATATAAACTGGAACTATCTCTTCCATGATTATTACTGACTAAGCGTACAGCTCTTTTTTGAAGTGCTTTAAGCCGTTTCATGACAGAACTTGGACATCCATCCAATATTGTGGAACAGTAGTCTAGATGGGTCTGAATATGGGAGGTATAGAATATCCTTCTGGTGTTTTCATCCAGAAAGTGTTTAATTTTTGCAAGCTGGTATACTTTTTTTTAGCTGTTTGTTTCACTAGAGCTTGCACATGAGAAGTGAAGGTTACATTTCTATCAATAATTACGCCTAACGCTTTGTTCTCAGTTACACATTCTACTGGGTTGTTACTGATGTAGAGCTGAAGCGTATTATGTGCAGATAAAGAATATAGCTTTTGTCTTGTTGATATTAACATGCATTTTGTTTTACTAATGATTACTTGCATGTGGTTTGCATAGCTCCAGGAAACAACATTGTTTAATTCCTGTTGTAAAGATGACTCTAGAATATCACACATTTGAGCACTTGTATAGACTGTACAGTCATCTGCAAATCTAGATGGATTGGAACAAGAACACTGATAATCCAGTGTCATATGAGATGATAAACCATGTCTATAATTTCTCACGCGACACATGAGGATAAGGATAAAGGGTGGTTGCACTAACTCTATCATTCTCTTGGCTCCAGTCATTTGCAGACTTCTCAGGTGCACATCGACTTACACTTCAACATGTCGAAACACAAACAATGCGAACTCACAGCTGATACTAATGTTACTGTTTATTATTTCACGCAGTCACCTCCAAGCCAGTGCACCTTGTGGTGGCAGTGCAGGGATCGCATCAGAACTAATTGCAAATAATCAGTTCAAAAGGATAATTACCTTTCTGCACAATGAACACATGAATAACTTGACAGTCACAATCTTTCACACTGAATAAACAACAACACATCCAGTCTGGACCAGAATTGCCAAATGAACGATAGCCAGGTTTGCCAGTTTGTAACGGCCACATCAGGTTCAAGCATCAATTTGTAACTTCATTCGTCACAGACACACTGTTCTTGGAACCCAAAACGAGACTTACTTTTCTCGCTTATTCTTCGACCTTAGTAATCTTTCATGCCACCTTGTTTCTCAATGATGGGCGCATGTAAATTAATGATTAAATCACTTTGGCTTGTGCTCAGCAATCTGCACGCTTGCATTACAGTCAAAGGTGTAACTCATTCGGCCTTAACCTAATTTGTCTGAACTGACATACCTAATTTATCTGTCTCTGACCTGACTAATAATGCACACATTCATTCTCGAGAGAAAATAGACTTCTTTCATCCAAGACGAGTTCCCATTTGTAAGAAGCTTGTGTACTTGTAACAATGGTTTTTTCACTCTTGTAATAATGTTGACTCCCTAGGAAACAGACACAACTTTCTTCAGTTAATAACACCGAACAGCAGTCATTTTCCAAATATACATTCTATCAGTTTATTATTCCCGATTCTCACATTTCACAGTTTTCATCAACATCGCTACTTGTTCCTACATTACATCTGCAAAGATCTTCAACACAATGTTAAGACATTTCAATTACTGCATCACAATCACCTGAACTGTCTTCTTCAAGCTCTGGTTCCCAGCTGACCACGAGTCAACCTCAGGCTTTCTTTGTTTACTTTTCCAGTACTTCGTATGGTCGTTTATCGCACATATTTTTTGCTTGATTTGTGACCTTGTGGTCCTTGACCTCATCACAGTGGTACAGTTTATGTTGAAACCTGGGAATTATAACAGTGGGAAAAGCTTACCAGTCACCTTGTTAGCTTTCTTGCATTTTGTTTCAGTATGCCTGTCAAGCTGCAGATGTGCTGTACAAATTCTAAATGTTAACATCGGGTTCTCATGCAGTAGACTGAATTTGGGCCCTTGGTATGGCAATGCAGTTTTTCTGACGGGACAGAAACAAACATCCTAACCTGCATGATCTGTGGCAAAAGCACTAGCCATAAGGCCCTAAAAAATAATGATGCTGAATTAACTACATTATGGAATACAAATATTCTGTCAACAAATTAAACACACACACACACACAAACAGTCAGCAAAATGACATAAAGTGTAAATAAAATACCCAAGTGTGAATTTGGAAATGTGTTTGATTGCGAGTTAATATAGATGTTATGACTTGGTTGTTAAGACATGAATAATACAATTCTATTTCAGTGCTTACATGTTACCATTGATATCACTTGTATTTAGGCTTGTAAGTGGATCTACAGATGAACCGCCTCTTCACTTGAATCTTAACAAAGTTGCCAGACAAATTAAAGTTGACAAAGAGAAGAAGAAGGTTGTGGTTCGATTCCGTGACGGCTTGCAAGTGTTTGCTGATATGGTTGTGGTTGCCATTCCTGTATCTGTGATTGCATCTGGAGAATTACTGTTTGAACCTGAGCTGCCCAAAAAGTATACACTTGCTGTACAGGAAATAAGTAAGGTTTTAATTGTTCACTAACAGTCCACTATGCTATGTTATGTATACTCATTTGTGGTTGAAAAGTTATTTGTTTACAACCGCAGTTTGATAATGAAGTTTTCCCATTTCTGGACTGAGAGTCCAAAGGTTCCATCCCCTAGCTACTAAGTTGAGTACTAGTGTCTCTACAACTATGCTTGCTGTGCAAGCTTCTGTCAGCTGTGGATTTCTAGTGGAATGTGTTTTTTTTTCCCAGTTGTGCATTGTAAACTGCACTAAAGGTAGTAGGTGGCCAATTATGTTCAACATGGCATGTGCAGATCTGGCTTTGGTGATTGACTGGTTGTGAGCTTCAAGATTTTGCTGGGACTTATATATTTTTACTAGTTGTTTTCGTATAGGACAGTGAGGACTTTGGGTTTGATTTCCACTCACACAGGAATGTAGCAAGTACAGGGCAAGCCGTCTGCAGTGAAGTTGGAGGGAGCCTTGACTTATGATTAATGTCTGTTCGAACCTGGTGTCTGGTGCAGTATTCTGAGACTGAGCAACTAGAAAATTAGATTGAAACTCTGGAGATGTGGATATACAAAAGAGTAGACTGCATTTCATGAAAGAAAAAGTCAAATGTAGAGGTACCGAAGAGACTGGAGATGAAAAGAGAGTTACTGGGGAAGAAAAGAATGATGATTGTTAGTTCAGTCAACATGGTGTGTCCTGTTAACAATAGTTAACAACAAGCTTGATGTTTTCAAATCCCTTTGGGAACAGTATGGATGCAGAAATAGATCATCACAGTCTATAGGGAATGGCGTATCAGGAAGTTGTACAAAAAACTCAGAGCAAAGCCGAGATGAACATACAATCAGACTGCTAATGGTATACCATAGGTAGTTGAATGCTATGCTGGCTGCTGAAGATAGGTTCGGACCACTTATGTGAATGTTCAAATGCTGTGATATTGGTTCTGAACTCACACCCACTCAATAACAACAGTCCTTGCTAAACACTAAACACTATGGAGATACAAAATATCTGACGTAAAACAAAAATATGACTGCTTGAGCTATTATTTATTACCTTTACCTATATGGCTGTGAAACATAAGCCTAACATCTGAAGAAAGCTTCCTCTTCTTCTTCTGTTTTGTCCTCAAAAGGGTGGTTAGCATGTTCTTTTGTAGTTTAAAGCTAGGATGTGGTATCTGCACCTTTTAGCCCAACAAATCCAGTTTCAGCAACACCCTAATTAGTAACCTCTTTTGACATATGAGTGGGGGAGGTGGGTGCGGGGGGTTGGGTCTGTTCTGTTTTATTCCTGGAACCCACATGGTGATATAAGAAGAAAACAAAGTACAGGTAATGGAAAGAATTCGCAGTCTCCTCTATGGAGGTTAGTTGCCAAGCCTACTCTGGTAGCTATAGGGCTTTTATGTTTTGAAGCCCACAAAAACAGTCTTTTAGTTGCAAAGCCTAAGGGCTATTATGTTTTGAAGCCCACAAAAACAGTCTTTTTCTAAATTGCCTACTTGATGATTCCGACTCCAGTAACTTGAGGATTGCATTGTGAATCGAACTCTGGTAACATTGAGGATTGCATTGTGAATCGAACTCTGGTAACATTGAGGATTGCATTGTGAATCGAACTCTGGTAACATTGAGGATTGCATTGTGAATTGAACTTCGGTAACATTGAGGATTGCATTGTGAATCGAACTCTGGTAACATTGAGGATTGCATTGTGAATCGAACTCTGGTAACATTGAGGATTGCATTGTGAATCGAACTCTAGTAACATTGAGGATTGCATTGTGAATCTAACTCCGGTAACATTGAGGATTGCATTGTGAATCGAACTCTGGTAACATTGAGGATTGCATTGTAAATCGAACTCCGGTAACATTGAGGATTGCATTGTGAATCTAACTCCGGTAACATTGAGGATTGCATTGTGAATCGAACTCCGGTATAATTGAGGATTGCATTGTGAATGGAACTCTGGTAACATTGAGCATTGTGAATGGAACTCTGGTAACATTGAGGATTGCATTGTGAATCGAACTCCGGTATAATTGAGGATTGCATTGTGATTCGAACTCTGGTAACATTGAGGATTGTGAATGGAACTCTGGTAACATTGAGCATTGTGAATGGAACTCTGGTAACATTGAGCATTGTGAATGGAACTCTGGTAACATTGAGCATTGTGAATGGAACTCTGGTAACATTGAGCATTGTGAATGGAACTCTGGTAACATTGAGCATTGTGAATGGAACTCTGGTAACATTGAGCATTGTGAATGGAACTCTGGTAACATTGAGCATTGTGAATGGAACTCTGGTAACATTGAGAATTTCATTGTCAATCAAACTCCCGTAACGTTGAGGATTGCATTGTGAATCAGTTTCACTAACTTACAGGTCGCAGCTAACGATTCTTAGTAAATGGTGCAGAGACCACAGCACACAAAAAGTTCACTACATAATCATTCAGAGGAAGACGAGTAAAACTGAGACTAGTCCTACTTTTCATTCAACAGATGTGGCGGCAGCCAATAAGGTGATTCTTGAATTTGAGCATGTGTTTTGGCCAGCTGAGTTTGGTGTGTTCACTAGAGCTGTCGGATCAGATGCTGAAAGAGGAAACCTCCAGACGTGGGTTAACATCAACCGGTTTCTAGCTAAATGTGTCCTAATTGGTTTTCTGTTTGGACAACCAGCTGTGGAGTTTGAAAAACTCGACCCTGAGGAAGCAAAAAACCTGGGTAAGCTTGAATGAGTGTTGTATTGACTCAGTTACAGCAACATGGCATTGTCTGTAGAAGTAAGAAATTGTCTTAAGCTGTTAACAGATGTTCTTTGTCCATAGAAATTGAAAATAGAACCTGAATTAGTTATAAAATGTTCTAAAAATAGTCTCATTTTATTATACAATGTTCCTTGTGTTTAGAAATGAGAAATAGAGCCTGAATTAGTTATAAAATGTTGTAGAAAAATAGTCTCAAGTGGTTACAAAATGTTCCTTTCTATAGAAATTAGAAATATAACCTCAGTTTGTCATAAGATGCTCTAAAAATAAGGTATCAAGTTATAAAATTATCCTCGTCTACAAAAGTTAGAAATAGTCTTGAGTTGCTATAAAAGGATCCTCATGTATGGAAGTAAGAAATATATTGTTTCAAGTTGTTTTAAAATGTTCCTTATCTGTAGAAGATAGAAATAGAGACTTTAGTCATTATAAAATGTTCCAGCTACAAAAATTATAAGATCTTCAGTGGCACATACCTTACCTTGTGCATTTGCCTTCTGAACTGGAGGTTATGTATTAGAATCTCTATGAATGCAGATTTTTAAAATTAGTCTTGTGGCTTATCTGTTTCCAGCTCTAAATGTTCTTAACGAGATGTTTGGTGAGGATCTGGTGAAGCAAGGTGGAAAACTGGTCAGATTTCAGCAATCTAAATGGGTCACAGATCCTTTTTCTCTGGGGACAAGTTCCTATCCCAAAGTTGGTGAGTGTGACAATTTATACATTTGAAATCTTGGTTTATAAGTGTCTCTTATAAGATGGTATAGATGTTTTTTGTTCACTTGTGTCAAAAGTAGCATGGATAGAAAAAAAGGGGTTTGGATGGAGGGGGGGGGGGGGGGGGGGGGGGGGGGGGGGGGGATTTCATTGCACTCATCTTTTCCTATACAGCTCATTCTCTGTTCTCTCTCTCTCTCTCTCTAGGGCGCATGATTTCTTTGCTAGTAGTGTTACAAAACAGCACAGACTACATAGATCTAGCACTGATTCTTAGGGGTGTCTGAAAAACTACATATATATGGCCCACAAATGATATCTTTTGAGTGTGAGGCAAATGATTTGCCTCCAGGACCCCCATAAACAGAAAGGTTATCAACTGAATACTATCTTAAAGAGGTCAGGGAAAATGAACAACCACTGCGAAATATTCCAGAAAGTATGCTGGGTCACAAACAAGACAGGAAATATTGGAGGAACAAGTACTGGGCTCAAGAGAGGGAAGATACCTTAAATAGATACATTGCTGTGACAGAATTATCAGCTTTATAAAATTCCTGTCTCTCTACACTTATGTTGGCTCTGTGGCTAAGTCGATGCGAACGCTTCGTAATGCCGGGTTCGATCCCAGCTGCGTGCCATGCGCCTTGCTTTGGTTTAGACAGTGGTATCAGGGAGCCGACCGTCCAGAAAGCAATGGCAAACTACTGGGTGTAAATTTGCCTAGAGAAACCACACAACAGCCAGGGAGCTGCTGGGGTTGGTTCTGCAACGTCCTGTAAAGGATACGCAACTAACCTCTACACTTATACTGTGTTAAATTTTTTTAGACCTGTTTTTCCAGATGCCATTTGAACAATTGTTTACCTCTGTAAAATTGAAAAATAAACCTCTTTATATTTTTCACAGCTCTCTTGTTGAATTGCTTAGAATAAATAATTTAGTAGTTTCCCTTTGTCTTCCACATCTGCATGGCATTGAGCTTAGCATCTGTTATGTTGCTAAAATGTGTACCCTACTTTGTGGTACTCTACTACTTAGTTAATTCTTTTTAATTAAAAAGTCTGCATTGTAATAGGTCTGGGTCAGATTGGTTTATAGTGAAATATAATTATAAAATACTTGCTAGTAAAATTCTACTTTTTTAAATTTTCTTGCAGGAAGTGACCCAGGATTATGGGATACTTTTGCTGCGCCTTTGTGTCCCTATATTTACTTTGCTGGAGAGCATACTACCTTTGAAGGTCATGGAACTATTCATGGGGCATACAATTCTGGTATCCGTACTGGCAACCAGATTCTCACAGGACTGTGTGAAACTCTAAGGAAGGAAGAAGAGCGCAGAAAAGCTGAAGAGAGACGGAAGAAAGCAGAAGCTAAGAAAAACAAAACAGCAGATGAATTGCATGATAACAAGAGTCAAGAAGATGAAACTGATGACATTGTTGAAGATGATGAAACTATGAAAGATGATGCTGAAGATGTTGAGGAAGTAGGAAAGAGAGATGTTAAGACTGAATTATAAAATCAGTAGTGTTTTGACCTAAAAACTTTAAACTGTTTACCTCTATGTACTTTGTGGTGGAGCTTCCACTAGTCAAAACTAACATGTCACACTGTCTTACAGGAAATACCTGGAATATTAAAAGTGATTTAAATATTCCTTACAGTACTTTGAAAAAACATTTCTTTTTCTTCTTCTTATGTGTTGGCAATCACTTAGAAGTCCAGTTGGCAAATTATGGTTTATAACTAGACTGCTGCTGCTTTTCCTTTGTGTTTACCGGCTGTAGACTGTGGCTGAAAGTTCTGGTTGTTTGTTCCCTTCTGGAACCCTGTCCTTTCCCAGAACCTGAGTGCTGCATTCACATCGGTTTAACGATCAGACTCATTTGTGTGCAGACTGTTGGCCACTTGCCACTCAGGCAGATGCACTTTGATTTCAAAGGAAGCTCCCAATTAGTCGACTCCTACTACCTGCTTTTAGGGAGGCTGTAGAGGTCTATTCTTGTTTTCCACAAAATGGGGCTCTTAAACTCTCACGGGCAACTAGGCTACAATATCTGCACATTTAGGCCCTATAATTTAGTTTCAACAAACCTTTAATTAGTTGACATTTATGACATGCATGATAAGTAGAAGTAGTTCTGTTAAACAACTCCCCCCCCCCCCCTCCCCCATGGGGTCGAGGAACCGTAAAATGAAATATTTCTCTTTAAGGCTGGACCTATGTTCAGATGCATAATATGTCTTGACCTTATTTGGAAAATCACAGTTTTTTTTTGTTGGTGCTGAAAATTGATGGAATGTACATGGTCTTGTGTTGGTGATGCAGGCTTTCAAGAAGCAGATTGCAATCTTGATCTGCTTACAGAAATTATACATAGATTGTGTGGGCATATCATGAGAACAACAGAATTTGACAACTAAATGACAACAGGCAGAAATTATGAGAAAAGTTTAAGAAGAAGAAGAAATTCCTGGATGGCTTGGTCAGGTGACATAATGAAGACAAGATCACAGGCTTGATCTGAGACTTGATAATTGTGAAAGATGAAGAGCAGTGACTGTGTACGCTTTTGGCCTGTTACTTAAAGACAGTAATGTGTATTATTGAATGGAATGATTTGGAAAATATAACCCATTTTGTATCCGAATGACTGGAATTCATTTGGAATAAATTTATTATGTTGTGGTGTTTGATTTAACTGGAAAAGTTGAAAATATATAATCATTATGTGTAAACAGTGCCTTGAATCTGCTTTTGTCCCTGCTGTACTCTTTCATGGCAATGCTCACCTGATTCCTGGTTTCTTCATTGATATCATTTATAATAACTTTTTTTTTCTTTCTCACACACCATATCGTCATTTGTATAGTATTAGGAACATTTGTTTGAAACCCATTCCTGCTGCACTGCGCAAATTTGCATGCGTTAAGCGTGTACATATCATAGTTATATGATATGTACTGACCACTGAATAAAAGAGCACATGCTTAAAATCCCATGATCATAGATTCTGTTTTCGACCATTGAAAAAATTGCCAGGTTTATCCAAAATCATCCAGAATAGCTCAGAGTGATTCTATTTTCTTTGATTTGAAGGATGTCGACCAGTAGACATTCATCAAAGAATGCTGGCAGCCTACAAGAATAAATATGTCTTGAAGACAACAGTGACTGACGGCACACATTTTTAGGAAGGGACATGAGTTTCCTGGCCAGCTTTAGCACATATTGTTCCTTCAACAAAAACAAAAAAACCATGGCAGCAATACAGGTGAACCATTGCTGAAGCATACATTTACTAATGAAAGAATTTGCTGTGTCAGTTGGGAAAGTTCAAAAGGTTGCTCGTAATAAACTGCAATATCAGAAGGTTTGTTTGCCACTGCTATTGACACGCTAAACAGCTCAGTGAGCAACCACAATCCCTTTTTGTGGACGACATTCGCTGCCTACATGAACAATAGAATCCTTGCCTCAATGCCTGTGGCAACTTTTTCTGAATAGTCTCTGGTGCATAATTCTTCTAAATGAATTCTTTGTTTGATTCTGCCATACCCATTGATGTTTCTTTCATGCTTTTGCACCCATAGGAAGAGGTTTCAAATGAATGTGCCTTATATATTATTATTTCTTTGACATGTTGGTAACAATTTTTATGTGACTCACAATCAGTGAAGATGTACATCAGTTTGTTATGTTACTGTGTACATATGCACACATAAGCACGCACATGTGCATGTACGCATACATGTTTGATTTTGTGTATTGATTGCCTAACATATATATAATTGTACACACACACACACATGTATGATCTTATATAAAGATTACAAAACGTGCATGTCTGCACACACACACAAACACACATACAAGTATTCTAATTTACAGAACATATCTGATATCCATGTTGTGCAATATTGCATTTCTGCATTATTATTATACTTGTGCAGTAGTGAATGGATGATTCTTCTGTTGACTGAGGTCACAATTTAGTTGCTTTTGTATAGTTTATGATGAAGAAATCAATGCGCACTCATTTTTCATGCATTTGGAACATAAGACATATGGTTCCAGACCCATATTTATATAAATCAATCACCACACACTGGGTGATGTTGACATCATCACATTGTCTGCCTTTACTTCCCAGGGCATTACCTGTTACCAATTTTAGGCTAACTAAACCTCTGTTGCTTAGTCTTCTTCTTCTTTTTTTTTTCCACGTTTACCAGCTGTAAACTCCGATGAAAAGCTCTGGTTGTTCATCCAGCTCTGAACTAGACTTGTTCCAGAACCTGAGTGTTGTGTGCACATCCGTATTATAGATCTGACTTGTTTGTATGCAGACTGTTGGTTCATTGTCTCTCAGGAAGATGCCCTCTGGCTTTGAAGGAAACTCCCAAATAGTCGACTCTTACAACAAGCTTGTTGGGGAGGCAGTGGGTCTAATCTTGTTTTCCCTGGAACCCGCACGGGGATGTGGCTTAGTGTTGTGATGGCGCTTTGTAATGCCGGGTTTGTTCCCAGCTTTTTGCTGATTTGGCAGCAGACCATCTTGCATTGGTTTTAACAATACTATCAAGAGCTGACCATTCCAGAAAGAAAATGGCAAACTAACATAAGTATGTTTGGAAAAACCGCAACAGCACACAAAAAAATGCTGAGGTTGGTTCTGCAACATCCTGTAAAGGATACGCAACTAACTTTAAATCTGGGTGCCGGGGCCTATGTCTGTATTATTACTATTATATCTTAAACATTCCATTGTATTTGTACCAACTTAGTGTGCCTTTTGCCAAATAAGTAAATTGTGGGTATTTTTCTACTGGTTTGAAATGAAGGCTGCATATGCCAGGTTGTGATTTTCAATTTAAAACATTAAACATACTGAACTGTAACTTTCTTTATTGTGAATTTAGTTTCCTGGCAAACCTGTAAATTGAAATTTAAGTTTTACACCACACATCTTATTTACTTTTGAGATTTGCCATTGAGGATATTTAATCGTCAATCCCAAGGAAGTGCTTAGGTTGCTGGCAAAGACAGGTCGACTGTTTAACCCTACCAGACCGCTGGCCCGGTTTATCAGTAATTTCTTAAACTGTCTCTATGCTGCTGGCCCTAATTTTCGGCTTTTTGCGTAGTACAGGAAAACGATGCGTCACGGACTAAAAATAACCACCCAATCATTATCAATCCTCTTTGTTAGACATTGCAAATGTCTGCCCGCATGTGTTTGGATTATATTTGTGTTGTTTTACGTGGACAAATTCTGAAAAGTCACAATGAAACGAGCGGCTGATGAACCAAGTTCTAGGCTTTTCACAGTCCTACAGGTGATCGTTACTTTGGTTTATTCAGACTCTGTGATATATTGTAGACTATTCTCCATGTTTTCAAACTGGTTCTCAAGTACGTTCCATCCAGCTTTCATTTTGATTACAGCGAGTCCTTGTATGCCTTTTGATTTGGTTTGATTTTCTCCTTCTGAGTTTGGCTTCCAGGTGAGCCTTTTATGCAGTACGTCTAAGTCTCATGGGCTGAAGCGGTGAAAATGAATTTGTGAAGCCTGTACGATGTTTAAAATATGGGCTTGCTAATAACATGGAACAATGAGAAGCACCCCAGTTGACAGTACAAAACCCTTACTTAATTGGAAAAGCTTAAGAGGCTTCCAAACGATCTGCTGAACTATAGATTTCAGGAAGACAAAACTATCAATAAAAAGAATCAATCATTTTGCAAGGAAAACTTTGACATAAATGCAAATATAAAAACTGACATTATAATGTGCGAAGCTTTCACCACAGGACTGTGGATCTACAGTCCATTCTTCTCCGGTACAGTTCTGGAAGTCCTAGGAATAAGTTCAAAAAAAAAAAAAATGGCTCAGAACAAACATAATACACTCATATATCAGTATTCCTTCAGTATCTGGACACGTATGTTTACAGACTGTTCTGGCAAAAAGGAAGTAGGTGAATCTACATTTCCAACACTAATCACAATACAGAGACGAACTCAATTTTGGCAAGGAAAGCTTCCACCGACCTTAGAACTGAGGCAATAAACCTCTTTGAACTGAGTAGACTTCCAATACTCTAGCTGAACTAAAATAAAACAACGTCATATTGTCATATTCATGTAGTAAAACCAGTCCACCAAGTCACCTAATGCTCTAAACAGGTGAGTTTTAACTTACTTGAAAGTCCCTTTTCCTCGCCTTTAGGCGTATAAGGCCTATAGGGCTAGTTCTATATATTTATAGACCAATCGGCACAAGATATGTGATGTGTTCAGCATCACACCGGCCGCCTTTACTTCCTGGGACTGCAACCAGTACCCACTCAAAGCTGGGTCGACCTCAGGGTCTAGGTCATTTGAAAAAAGTCCAGCTCCGATCGCATGTGAGGCGTCTAGCTGCTACGCTATAGTGAATCCCTCAGTTTCAACTAAGGAAAAAACCATCATAATGCGGTCTACAAGAACAGTTCTATTCCAGCAGTAAATTTTCA